TTGTGTGAAATAGAACAATCCAGGACCTGATCACCTCAGAGCTGTACTATTGCAGGGGTGGAGAAATAGAAGTTCTCCAGACCTTGCTAAACTACATCTCTCACCAATTCCATTCCTTGTGGGAGAGGGAGAAGCAGGGAGAGGGAGAGAGACAGAGATACTGGAGGTTATAACAGCAACCTTTTTGAGGATCACAGCTTTTCCATTTTTTTTTACTACAGCATCAATAAAATGTCTGAATGGTTTTGATGATAGTCCTCTGACGGTAATCTTGATTTTCAGGCTGGTCACTTCAGGACTAGGTTTGCGCAACATAATAAATATATTGAATATATATGGGATACACCAGGTTGGATAAGCACTATTTAGCAGGTTTTTACCCTGCTTTGCAGCAAAGATTCCATTTTTATAAGGCTGATGGTAGCTCAGGAATTCTGGGAGTTGAAGTCCACAGGTCATAAAGGGGCCACGGTTGCCCACCCCTTCCTTGGAAGATTAGATTGTCTATGGAAAGCAAATGTAAAACGCAGGTACGGTACTTGATGGCAGTCATTTTCAGCATGGGATATGCTGTGCATTTGGATGATACTTTAAATTCCATGAAAGGATTCGTTATGTCTGCACCTTGTAAATACCTCGGTGGGTAAACTCACAAACATGTGAGTTTATTGTTTGTCTCAAAGGTGCTTTTTCAAAAGGCAACTGGACTTTGTTTTTCCTTGAAGATGTTTCGCTTCTCATCCAAGAAGCTTTTTCAGTTCTTTTTATTGTTTATTAAGGAGTTATGAAATATATATACATCTAACTCTATACAATCAGAAATAAAGCTGGAAGCAGCTGTACACAAGGGTATCTCCAGGAGGGTTAAAAAAAAGTCAAGATGGCACCTATGGAAATAGATGCCCCGCCCCTTTTGAAAAGAGGGGTGGGGCTTGAGTGACATGGCTGCAGTCGCTACCTTGGCTTTTTTTTGAACCTGCCCCTGCCTAGAAGCACCTGCTTCTAAATAATCTGTATGACAGGCCCAGTTTATTTTGAACAACAAAAATACGTTGGCAATTTGGACTTTTTAGGAGGAGCTCCTTGAGCTATGGAGAAAGAGATTAGACTGATCCCTTCTTTGTTATAATTTAGCCAGGGAACAACCTACAACCTACTTCACAGAGTTATTTATGACATTTCCTGTTCTTTTATTTTACTCTGTTCTGGTTTTATTGTGTTGAACTTTTTTAATGTCTTTTTTTAATGAGTAGATTTATCAGCTTCTTTCTCGTTTGTTTTTATATTGTCATGGTTAGCTCATCGACAGGGTTTTTGTACGTTAAATAGAAAGCAGTTCGTTATGTTATTATTAGATGTATAAAAGGCAAAGGCTTCCCTGTCCAGTTGTCTCCGATTCTAGGGCGCAGTGCTCATCTCTTGTTCTTGGCCAAAGAAGCCAGGGTTATCCAAAGACATTTTCCATGGTCATATGGCCAGCATGACTATATGCTGAGACTCACAGAACACTGTTATCTTCCCACTGGAGTGGTACCTATTTACTTATTCACACTGGCATGCTTTCAAAGTGCCAGGTCGGCAGGAGCTGAGGCAAGGAACGGGAGCTCACCCCATTGCACAGCATTTGGGTCTCAAACCCGGCCTGTCAGCTTTCCAGCTGAGCCATTGCCCCCCCCCCCCATTAGATTTATACCCTGTCTTTATTCTATATATTGCAAGGTGGCACGCATTATGCCCCCTTCTCCTATTTTCTCCACAACAGTATCCCTGCAGGTACGCTATTACTATAACAATGTTTATAATATATACTATTACTATTCAATATACTATCTTTTATTACTCTTACCCATTACTCTATTATAATTACCTATATAACTATGCGCTATAGCAGAGGTCCCCAACCTTGGCAACTTGAAGACTTGTGGACTTCAACTCCCAGAATTCCTCAGCCAGCCAAGCTGGCTGAGGAATTCTGGGAGTTGAAGTCCACAAGTCTTCAAGTTACCAAGGTTGGAGATCCCTGCGCTACAGTATTACACACAGTATATGCCTCATACTTTCTTTCTTAAGTCTGGCCTACCTTAAGTACCTCCTTGCTGAAATTTCTTCTCCTTGCACCTTTTTGTTTTTATACTGTGCTTTGTCTTGCTGGGAGGTCCTCAACTTACGATCACAACTGAGCCCAAAATTTGTGTCGTTAACTGAGAAATTTGTTAAGTGAGTTTTGCCCCATTTCACGCATTTTCTTGCCACGTTTGTGAAGTGAATCACTGTCGTTGTTAAATTACTAATACAGTTGTAAAGCAGACCTGGCTTCCCCTTTAACTTTGCGCGTCAGAAGGCCGCAAAAGGGGGAAATCACATGACTCGGGGACGCCGCAGCCGTCATAAATACGAATCAGTTGCCAAGCATCTGAATTTTATTCAGCTGACCATGGGGATGCTACAACAGTCATAAGTCATTTTTTTTTCATGTCATTGTAACTTCAAATGGTCACTAAATGAACTGTTGTAAGTTGAGGACTCCCTGTACTTCTTTTCCTCTCTTTCGGACTGCCTGCTCCTTCTGAAGGAAAACCTCCTTCTTTTCTTTATTTATGCTGTAAAGGTAATCCTCAACTTGCAACCACAACTGAGCCCGAAGTTTCCATTGCTAAGCAAGACAGTTGTAAAGTGAATTTTGCCCTATTTTGCAACCTTTATTGCAGTGGTGGCGAACCTATGGCACGCGTGCCAGAGGTGGCACTCAGAGCCTTCTCTGTGGGCACGCATGCCATGCCCTGGAGATAGCAACTGTCCCTCTTCAACCAGCCGCCTGCTAACTCACCGAGGTCCGACGTGGCTGGATGCATCCCAGCACGGCTGGTTTCCCTGCCCCCCCATCCCGTCCCTCCTGGCCTTGCATGTTCTCCTTTTCCCGGGCATGACCCACTGCATTGCCTCCTTAGCTGTCGGCCGGCCGTCCAGCTCAGAGCAGCTTCTCTGAACTGCTGGCGGTGGGCTGCGGAGCTCCAGAGTGTGCCGGTCAAGGGGCCAGCAGACTATGGCTACTGACAGACACCATCGGCCCCCATGCACTCGCTGGCCTCTGTGTGCGGGGGCCGATGGTGTCAGGCAGCAGCCGCCCCTTGCCTTGCCCCATGGCAATGGCACCCCCGCCCTGCCATGCCTCACCCCGCAAGACGAGCCTCCTACCTACCGCCCCACCTACCAGAGACCCCCTGGATCTCCCCCAATCCTGCCCACCCCCCACAGGCATCCCTCACCCTGAGCAACATTGAGGTGACCATGCCCACCTTGGCCACACCCACCCAATCTGCCATGACCACCATAGCCACGCCCACCCAATGGGCCACGCCCACCTGGCACCCGATGATATATAAGTGGGTTTTGGGTTGCAGTTTGGGCACTCGGTCTCTAAAAGGTTCGCCATCACTGCTTTATTGCCAAAGTTGCTAAGTGAATCACTGCAGGTTTTAAGTTAGTAGCATGGTTGTTAAGTAAATCTGGCTTCCCTTATTAACCTGGCTTGTCAGAAGGTCACCAGAGGTGGTCACATGAACCTAGCTCTCTGCAACCATCATAAATACATGCCACTTGCCGAGCATCTGAATTTTGATCACGTGACCGTGGGGATGCTGCAATGGTCCTAAGTGTGAAAAACGGTCATAAGTCACTTTTTTCGGCGCCTTTAAATGGCTGTAAGTCAAGGACTTTAAATGGTTATTAGACAAATAGGGTTTCCTGCCTGAGCAGGAGGTTGGACTAGATGACCTCCGAGGTACCTTCCAACTTTATCATCATCATTATTATTATTATTAAGTACTCAGTTTGCTGGTGGTTGCAGAGCTCCAGAAGATGGGTCTCCTCCATTCTCCTCCAGCACCTGTCTCAGGATTGCAGCTTGATTGGCAGCCCTGCCCTGCTGATGCTGGGGGAAAGGCTCAAAGGGGAGGGCAAGAAGGCAGCCCATTCTTCCACCCCTGCATTTCACTCTTAGGACCAAATAGCCATCCTGAAAACGCTGGAAGGATTAGCATCTGGAAGGGATTTCAACAATGGAGATACACATTTCTTTTGGGACGTCTTTGATGTCTTTACGCTGCCATGGAGAGGGTCCTAATTAGCCTGTTGAGCCCAACTGAGAATTTGGATTTCATTGTTAGGGTGCTCTCACAATATGGTGCCACGGAAAGGATGTCCAATCACAAACAACCCGTTTATTGAAAGCAAATTAGCGAGATTGCTCACTGTCTCTTCAGTGAATGAATGTTGAATGTTCTCTGTTAATTCAGCCTATTTTGGGTTTTTTCCGTGACCCTTCCACACAAGCCATTAGATTTGTTTTTAGAAGAGACCCAGAAGCATCTTTGAACATGAAGATTATCTTTAAAGCTGCCCCCTCATTATGCCTGTTTTGTTGCTACTGTTGCTGTTATGTTTAAGTAAGGTTCAAGGAAATCGGAGGGAGGAAGGAATCCACCGGGCTCCAAGGAAAATGACATGGAATATCTGGGTGGTGGCACGCTGGGCGGGGACCCGGGCCTAACCTTTTGCTTTCCTTTTCTCCCACCCTACCCCACCCCACCCCAACTCCAGCTTTTATAAAACCAGAGGAGCCCCTGGAGAAGGCAACCACGAGCAGCTCCAGCCTCGAAGTGGGGCTGACACTGACAGAGACCTGCTTTGCCCTCATCCCAGCATGGAGAAAGTTGCCGGCAATGCACGTTCCCATCAAGGCAAGCCGGGAGGTCATGCCTCAAGCCCTTCTGAGCAACGCAAGAAAAACCCTCAGGACTGTCTCAAGAAAATGCCCTTTGGCAAAGTGTCGGCAGCCTCCCAGAGGGTCGAGGGAGGAGGCACCAGGGCCAGCAGTCCCTCTAAAGTGTCCAAGCTGCTTGAGGCCTGGGAGAAAGGACTTGTGGGGATGGACGCCACTGGCCCAGCTCCTTCCTCTGAAACCAGGCCCTCCCATTCTCCCGTATCTACCAGGCGCTTACCTCCACCCCCAGAGGGGGCCCACTCTTCTCACTCCACCAATTCCAGGAATTCTTTTTCACCATCCAACGTGGCCTCCGTGCATGCCAAGCGATGCCTTTCTCCAACAGGGAAATCTCCTTTCTTGGAGGAGGCCAGGCGTGCCCGTTCTCCTGATCCTCGGCGTCCTTCTGGGCCAGCAACAGAAAACCGGAGGTCCCAGTCTCCAGCAGGGAAGAAGCAGCCTCCCACCCCGGCAGCAAAACCAAAGCTTCCTCCCCCACTCAAGGCCAAGCCAACACAAGTGCCCCCCTTGCCGACAGGCAGCACCCGTTCACATTCTCCAGTTGGGAGGAAAGACATACCTCCCAGAAGAGAGAACTACTCCTCCTCATCCCTGGATGATACCCAGCATTCATCCTCCTTGGCAGGAAACAGATCCTCCTATTCTGTGGCAGATATGAGGCGTTTGTATTCTGGAGGAAGCGCCACACAGCTGTCTTCTTCAGCTTCTTCAGCAGTGGACACCAGACGGGCATTCGCCCTAGCAGAGAACAGGAGCAAGTCTCCCTCATCAAATGCCAGGAGTTCACCTTCCCCCAAAGTCCCAAAATGTTCCTCACCCTCCTTGGACATCAGGTATCCACCCCCTCCACCAGACAATGAATGGTTTTCCTCCCCTTCCGACGCCAGGTGCCCTTCCCTGGCAGAGATCAACTCCCTGCCTCCTCCACCAGATGCCCTACTCGTGTCCTTATCCCCAGCAGATGCTGGGGTCTCCCCTTCACTGGTGGACTCCAGAAACTTCTCTCCCACAGCAATGGAGGGACATGTCTGTTCTCCCAGCCCACAGAGAAATTTTACTGCTCATGGGCCCGTCTTTGCTCAAGTATACCCCCGACTTCCCAAGCCGAAGAGCCCAGTGAACAAAGATGGCACCGGTACCAGAGTTACTGAATCACCGGGAGCCACACACTCTCCTGCTGCTGTTCACAATCCTGGCAAGGCTGGATCCCAGAAAGAGAACCATGCCACAAACACTAATGGGCTGCAGGAGCAGAATCTAGGCCTTTCTCGTGACAGCTCGAATGGAAGCGTCTCCCAGAAGGAAGGACATATTATGCTAAATGGGAATTGCTCCAAGTTGGACGCTGGATCTCTGAAGGAAAGCAACTTGCCTGGTGCTTTTGCACTTCAATCCTCAAGGGAAAGTTCTCCCAGTACCTTCCACTCTATTTCGTCCTCTGCATCCCCAGGGAGAAATTACACACCCTCTGCCCCGAGCCCTGCATTTTCTGAGGAACCCTATGTGTTCAAGCCAGTCCCTCAGGTCGTGTGTTCCAGCACTGTAGCCAAATCCCATGCCCAATGGCACAGGCCCAAGGGGAGCAGCACAGTTGTTTTTAGAGCCCAACAGCAAGTTATTGTGCCTCAGCCTGGATGCTCCACTCTTTACCAAGTCGGGCGAGAGATTGTTATGTCTGCCCCTGGGTCAGGAAAGACCAGCCAGGGCCAGCAAGAGAAACCCTTTGCTTCTTCCTCCATCACTTGCACTCCACTGGAAGAAACCTGGCCATTTTGGGCCAATCTCCCTAATGCCAAGTCCTCTCAAAGAGTCCACTCCTCCTTCCCCAAATCTTGCATCTTCTCCACACCACAGCCTGAGAATGGCCTGACTCACTCTCAAAATGCCAATGTGAGGGATGCCCAGAGGCCAAGGTGCGCACCTGTGCCGAGCCCTGATCGCACTTCAAACAGAGAGGCTGCTATAGCCAGGGAGGGAGTAGTTCCATTCAGCACAGCCCAGAGAGACGGCAGCCTGCCCAGCAATTCTGCCTCCCAGAAGCACAGCGACCTGTTGGCAAGAAGCAGGTCTGAACAGGAGCAAGGCATGCCCACTGCAGAAGGCCTAATAACAAGCGGGTCAGATCAAGACAGCAGCTGGTTAGGCGTGGGAAAAGCCATCTTATCTGCCAACAGAAGAAATAAGTGCCCCTTGGACCCCGCAGAGGAAATTGGAATCTCTGCTGCATTGCAGCAAACGTCTCCAGGGAATCTTAAAGCCAGAACACAGGATGATGGACTAAAGAAAGGAAACCAGATTTCAGGCAAGGGTCCCCTGATATTTGCACTGGAACAAGAGAGTTCCCCTTCCTTTTCATGGCCCGAACCCCCAAGTGACGTATTAAGAAGCATCGGCCAGACAGGAGAACAGGAACCCGAGGAAGTGGGGGAAATGGAGCATTTTGTAGACACCCTCCGCAACATGGACCCTGCTGAACTTCGGAAGCCCTCAAAAGCCCTCTCGAGGGCTCCACGCCCTTCCACGCTTGCCAAGCACACCGTCCTTCCACCCATCGATGAGAACCACATCACTCCCAAGGCAAAGGTTCATTTCCCAACAACATTGGGTGAGTTGTTTCCTCTCACCGAGGAGAACTCAGAGGAAGGAACGGGATCCAAGGGGGAGGAGCCAGGATTGGCAGAAGAAGACACCGAGGAGATTGAGAACCCTTATCTCACTAAAGAAGAGAAATCATGGGAGAGCAAGGTAGGCAGGAGATCTTCCTCTTGGGAAAGCCAGCAGTCCAAGACTGAGGAAAACTTTGGGCCTTTCCTTGGACAATTCCAGCAAAGCCTAGGAGATATCAAGGCGAGTGTTATTGTCCCCAGAGCTATTGTGAATCAGCCCAACCTGATTAGAACCAATGCTCTCTCAGGGATGTCTCTCTTGTCCAACTTTGTAGACAGGAAGGTTGTGGAAGACAAGCCTTATTCCCGCTTGGACAACAGCTTTCTTTATAGCAAGTTCATCTCCCCAGAAAAGGCTGAACTCAAGGGCCTAACAAAAAGGAAGGAAATGAGCCCAGGTATCCAGAAAATCAGCAGGGAGTGCCAGACAGCTCCAAGTGCACATCAGGAAGGTGCGGCTCATAGGGGGTTACCACGAACTGCTCTCCATCCTGGGCACCACCTCAAAGCACCAGATACCAGTGGTTATTCCAAGCAGGTTATTCTTCTGTCCAAGGAAGCAGAAACCTTGACGCAGTCAGAAATTCAGGTGAGTGAACTGTTGCTGGGTATCATGAAGTCCAAGTCAAGTGGACCTTAATGTAACTGTTCTCAAGCTTGTGCCTGGGTAATGTCTTAGGCTTTCACTTGCATTATTATTGTGTGTTCTTTGGGGATTATGGGAGTTGAGGTCTAAGGCATCTGGAGAGCCCTGGGTTAAGGAAACCTGCATGAGAATGTTCTGTTTGGTCTTTGCTGATGACAACTGTGATACGGTGTTTTGCCAAGTGCCAGTGCAGTGATCAGATGCCCAGACAATTGGTTCTTTTGGGTCTAGAGACAATAAGCACAACACTAAATGAAAGGACTTTAAGCTTTATTATTAGCTCATGCAAAGATATTTAAAAGCCTAACATAAAAAGCATACATACCCAAGCAAGATATCACCCAAATTGTTTACAAGCTGCCAGGAGCTCATTAATAGCTACAGTAAAGAGTAGACAGTTTCCACAGTATCTCTAGTGCTAGGTTCTGTGCAGAAGGACTGGATGGCATATGACTTTAGGATGAGAATGGAAAGTCTGAGACTTTTAACAGTAAGAAAAGTTTGCATCTACATGAAGATCCCCCCACCTTCTCCTTTATTCAAAAACAAGACTAAAAAGCAAGTTAGCTCAGAATGAGTTCTAAACCTCCAGACTTTTCTTAATAGGAAGGAGAAATCAAAATAATGTCACTAAATGCCTTGGAATAACAATGGTCTTCCAAATTGCCACTACTTATGATCTCTTGCCATTTTGTGTGTTCAAGAGCCGGGCTGTTTGAACTCTTTGCGAGTCTGCAACGTGAAAAAGAGCATTGTACCATTTTGCACCCAGATGAGTTATAGTCTCCAGCTTCAGCCAGTTGTAGAACTGGTGGCATAGCTTAAGTTCAAAAAGATGGTTACAGGACCAAACCCATCACTTTGCTCAGTTGCACAGCACTTATAGAAGCCACTTGAATGCTGTGCCTGAACGAAGGTCATTATGTACGATCTTTAAGTGGGATGGCTACAGAGTCAGTGATGCTCATTAAAGAAATTGAAAAGTGGCCATCTTAGACAGGAGCAGAGATACGATAAGTGTGCATGATGAAAACACCGCAATATTCAATTTTGGAGACCTGAATTCTCACCTCAAACTACAATTGTAACGAGAGGTCCCCTTTCATTCATTGATGTACATGCCCGATTCCCACCCACCCCCTTTTTTTCCCTTTATGATTAAAGAAGAATTTTCAGTGGTGAAAAGAACAAGAGGAACAAGAGACCCAGATGTTTATGAAATGTAAAGCTTTATCTTGGGCCATTGCAACCTGACAGTTTCACAACAGCCTCCTTTATGGAGCACAAGGCACAGGTTCCGACTCGTTTTCCCATCCCCCACTCCCAATTTCTTTTATGTCGGGTCTCTTGAGCAATCTGGATTTCCATGCAGGGCTGGGTGCACGGTGTTTCGGAGCTGTGGTGGTGCTTTCAGAGAAAGAGGAATGCTCCTTATGCAAGCAAGAATGCATTAAGTCAGAGAACTTTCTATTGGCATTGTGAAACTGACTTCACTAGATTATGACACTGATGAGATGAGTTCTTTGATAAGATTGGCTTGCAAAATTCATTACTGTAGAACATGATTCAGGGGCCAAGGAGAAGATGGGGAGAATGGACTGTCTTCTCCCTTGGCTTTTGAGGCCACAAGATTATATCAGATGTACAGAAATGACCCAACAACGCTCCAGACCTGTGTATGTTGGGGAAAGGAATATTTGGATGCAGTGCAAGAGACACATGTGGTATAGTACAGGTAGTCCTCGACTTACAACAGTTCGTTTGGTGACCGTTCAAAGTTACAATGGCACTGAAACAAATGTGACATATGATTGTTTTTCACAGTTATGACCTTTGCTGCAGCCCCATGATCATGTGATCAAAATTAACATGCTTGGCAACTGGTTCATATTTATGACCGTTGCTGTGTTCCAAGTTCATGTGATCTCCTTTTGCGACCAATGGGGAACCCAGATTCACTTAACAACTGAGTTACTAACTTATCACCTGCAGTGATTCACCCAACAACTGTGGCAAGAAGAGGTTGTAAAATGGGGCAAAATTCACTTGACAAATGTCTCACTCAACAAGAGAAATTTTGGGCTCAGTTGCGGTCGTAAGTCGAGAACTACCTGTAGTTAAGGTGTTGAGATTCAGTCTTGGTCCCTTTTCAAACATGGAAATACCCCAAGGTTTATCCGTCTCTCCCAGCCCAACCTACTTTATAAGGTGGTGACTGTGGGGAGAGACACAGAGTGGGTCATTTGGAGCTTCTGAAGGTTGGGTAATAAAACTAACAGGCTGAATAATACATGATTGAGCTTCCCAAATACGTACCCCTTCCTTATTCTCACAACTGCAAAGAATGTTCCTCTGATGTACATTTTAGACACAGAGACTTTTTGAAAATGTCCACGATGGCCATTTTTACTTGTGCCAGTGCTGCCCTGTGATCTTCATTAATTTCCCATTTATTTTTCAATTTCAGGAAGAGGAACATAATCCCGTGAAGATCAACAAGCGCCCCAGCAAGGTAGGATGGTGAAAAGGAAGGGTGACTTCCCAGGATTATACATTGGTAGACACAAAGTTAAGATGGCCCCTTTTCCTTCCCCCCCCTCCTGTTTCTTGCTTACTATAGATCATTTTATACTCTGAGGCAGGCTTTGGAGGGCAGAAAAGAGAAATCTGGAATGATGTCCCAGATGCCACTTCTTGGGAACTCGCAAGCACTATCTCCATTCAGGTGATCCGAGGAGGGTAAGTAATGGCTTTGGCTGGCTTGGAATAAGCATAGTGGGAAAACTGGACCTTGGCTAAAAAAAGGAATCAAAAAGAAAATACTATGAAAAGAACAAAAGCTTCTGTACATGGTCGTTGAAACTTTGAAATTGCGTTGTAAGTTGCTCTGGAGAGGTCTGTCGTAACTTTGAATGATCACTAAGCAGGCAGTCTGTCAGACTGGCTGGATTGTGTTCCTCTCTCTCTCTCTCTCTCTCTCTCTCTCTCTCTCTCTCTCTCTCTCTCTCTCTCTCTCTCTCTCTCTCTCTCTCTCTCTCTCTCTCTCTCTCTCCTTCTTTCTCTCTTTCTCTCTCCATCTTGTTTCTCTTTCTTATTTCTCTCTGTGTGTCTCTTCTATTTTTTTCTCTCTCTCTAGTTTCCCATTTTCTCCTCTTTCTCGTTTCTTTCTCCTATCTCTTCCTCTCTCTCTCATTCCTCTCTCTCTTTCTATACACAAACACACACATTTCCTTTTAAAAAGAAAGATAAAAACTAATATAAACTAATGTATAAAATAAAGAAGAAAGAGGAAAAAGAAACCAAGAGAAAGCCAAAAGTGCAAGTTAAAAAGAGAAAAAGGAAAAAAAAATGGTTTCTGATCTTCTTCACAGCAATTACAAGCGCAGTTGTACTTTAATCTCTTTAAAGTTGCATCATGATCCAGTTCTTTCTGTCATCTATCTTGTCTAATTATAAAAAAATATAAACCACATTATTATTATCCAAAAAGTCCATAAGAGGGTTTTATCACCAACAAACATAGGTATTATTTTTTTCTCTACTGCAATCAAAGTAGTTAGTTTATCCATCTTAGAAAGATCTGTCAATTCCACCAACATTCCTCCAGAGTGTTGAATTTTTTCATCTCTACTATATCCTATTTCAAAAGTTCTACTCTTTATATGGAATCAGTTTCCTGATCTGGTCCACCTTAGCTGTCCAGATAAATTGGGCTGATTAAGTATTTTCCTAGTGGGCATAATAGCTGCTCTTTGAAGTAAATGGTTTTTGCTATCATACCCCAACTTTAATTATTGGATGAACACTGACACTGTTTTCTGTGGAACTGTTATTTAAATGCATAAAACTTTGTCTATCTGGAGCTATGGAGGAATAACAGGGCAAATAGCAGGAGGATGGGAGAATCTCCCAAAATTTTTGTACCCCTCCATTTTTTGTGATTGAAGCAAAACATTTTGTAAGATATTTTTCATAAATATTTGCATGCTTGTTCAGTACAGAGGAAAGGCATTTCCCTTTTAAAGACCTTGAGGAATGTGGGTGGATACCCAAGGAACTCCATGAGCATCATACACCAGCCAATCCAAAACCAGAATTCAACTGGAAGACTTGGCTCTAATTGATCCTCACCAAATGTTGTTCCTTTCTGGTTCTCTCCAGCTGGTTGATGTATGAAAAGCCCCGATTCCATGGGAGGAAGTGCGTGCTGGCTGAAGGGAACGTGGAAATCACTAACCCTTGGAGAATGTACTGCGAGGAAGAGTCAGAAAGAGGGAATGCCCCATTCCGTATTGGTTCTCTCAAGCGGGTTGTGCAGGTAAAGGGGACTGAGTTCAAATTATAATCCTAAGTGATTGAAGCTTCATTTTTTCAATGCAAAGCACTTGACAGTATTTTGAATGAATTGGTTGATGCATTAAGTCTGCCTTGACCGGGGTCATCTAGAAAATTACTTTCTGAAAAACAAAAAGTTTTATCGACTGTTGAAATATGTAACCATTACTGAATACTAGGAAGTAATGATTATGGAAATCAACTCTTTCTCCATTAACAAGCTAAACTTCTTTGCAGGATTACAAATTCCCCGAGATCACTTTTTTTGCGGAGGAAAATGGCGAAGGGAGAAAACAGAGATTCACCGATTCTGCAGAAGATTTACGAACATGTGGGCAACCCTTGAACGCAGCATCTATCATTGTACACTCTGGCTTGTAAGACACTTTTTTTTCCTCCTGTTTTGGGTACCCACTTTATAAGAGGTGATCTTGAGCTAAAGTGCTTGATTTCTTTTTATAGAGATGAAAATAGATAGATGGATACCCTTTATTGTCTTTTTTTTTTTACTGTGAGCACATTGGCACACTTTAAAAATGAAATTTAGTTGCTTGTTCTCAAAGTGTTCCCATACATAACACATATTTAAATATGCTATATACTACATATGTGTAAATCTACACCCTTACATATAAATAACACTGACCATCTTGAATACCTGACCATCACTGACCATCTTGAATACGTTACAAACAGAGGAAGCTTTAGAGTTCACAAGGTTAATGCTGTATGGAATGAAACTATGACTGAATCTGGATGCTCTGCTTCGGATACCATGGAGCCCCTCCCAGAAGGTAACAAGGAAAACAGGTCGTGAAGAGGATGTGTGGTGTCTGAGACAATCCTGTGGATCCTGCTCAAGCAACGCTTATATGCTATGCTATGTCCTGGATGGAAGGGAGGGAACTGCCAATAATCTTTTCTGCCATCCTCATCACTCTTTACACTGCCTTCCTGTCTGAAGCAGTGATGCTTCCAAACCAGACTGTGATGCTGTATGACAGGATGCTCTTGATCATTCCTCTGTAGAAAGTGGTCAGGACAGGGGAAGGAAGATGTACTTTTCTCATGTACGCAGAAAATGCAGGCGCTGCTGTGCCAGCTTCACCAGTGTCTCGCTGTTGAGCGACTAAGCCAGCCTACTCGTTAACTGCACACCCAGGAATTTGATGCTGGTAACCATCTCCACAGGTGAATCATTAATGCACAGAGGAGTGTGGCTGTGCCTGCCTTTTCTGAAATGGACTGTGATCTCTTTGGTTTAGATAGACCTGAAGAGTGGCCATTAGCTCCTTCTCTAATGGAAGGCTTATTGTTTACTAGCAACAGTTCCACACAGAGGAACATTGATGTGTGGCTAATTTACAAGGTAGATGGCTAATAGAATCCACTGCCAATGTCAGTGAGGGGTCCTGTTGGCATACTGGGACCACAACAGCTGCTAGAGAAGATTGATGACTGATGCCAGTCCTGCCAAAACATTTAAGAGCTGAATATGGTCTGTTCATCTGGGTACTCATTTCCACCCAGTCACCTGGGATATGATTGCCACATTTTATGGAAATGAACAAAATGTGCAACGAGAGAGTAGTACTTTCACATAGTCCCTGTTCATTTCAAAAGAAGTAGAATCTGACTCTGACCTAATGATTTCAAGATTCTGATATTTTATGCTGCTTATGATAAGCTGCTTATACTGTGGTAGAGTCCTGCATTCTTTGGTTGCAAGAGAGATGGCTCGGTCAAAGTACTGGTGGAAAAGTGGTCTTGATGCTTTGTCTGCAGCTACTCACAACTGGTTCTCACATCCATTTGGAAATTCAAATGTTTATTTATTTGACGCATTTAAGGGCAAGCTCTGCAGACTATTTCTGAAGTTGTCTGGAAAAACCAGCGTACTATTGAAATTTTCATACAAATAATCCATGATTCTTCTTGTTCAGACTTTTCTTTTTTCTTTGCACAGAATACAGAATTCTGTACATGTATTGCTCTGAACTGTGTATTTTATAGATATTTTGCTTATTTTGTGAGTTGGGGTAGATTGTAAAATTTGAAAATGGATGAAAACCAACCAATCATTGTCTTCTAATTTACGTATTGGTCTGCAAAACACAAATTGGGCTAGTTGATTTAAGACATTAATCAGACAAACTGTCTCCTTCCAGAAGATCTCTTGGGACATTCAATTCCATTCAGTAGGCATGTTATCATTATTTGTTTTGTCAGTTTTGTCTTTTACAGATCTCTCTATTCCACAGGTGGCTCGTTTATTCCAAACCATTCTTTGATGATGACCCATATGTCTTAGAACCTGGTGGGTATCCCAATTTGCAAGCCTGGGGTGCAAAGGACCCGTCCATTTGCTCCATGCATCCAATTAAACTAGTAAGTATCCCCTGAAAAATAGCAATAGCATTTAGCTTATATATTGCCCATGGTGCTTTACAGCACTTTCTGTGTGGTTTACAATGTCAGCATATTGCCCCCAACAATCTGGGTCCTCATTTTACTGACCTTGGAAGGATGGAAGGCTGAGTCAACCTCGAGCTGGTCAGGATCAAACTGCTGGCTGTGGGCATATTTTGCCTGCAATACTGCATTCTAACCACTGCACCATCAGGGCTCTTTATGCATATACGTTATTAACAGCACATGACCAAGCAAGTTAAGATCACACAGAATCTCGTTAGTCAGATTTAAAAGTCAGGAAAAGGTATTACTGATTCTTGGAAAACAAATACATTTACACATTCTAGCCCTAATGTTCTAATTCATTAAGGCAAAGTCCTCATTAGTTGTTTATTCCTTTTTATACTAATTCCTCAATGAATGGACTAAGATCTCAAGAGGCAAGTTCATCTGGTCCTCAGTTGCCATGTCTTGGAGAAGTTCTCAAACCCAGAGAATTCTACTCCTGTGACTTTATTTGTTCATTTGTTTGCACTTTAGATTTACATTTGCATTTTTGCTTACTGGAGAATTTGGGAGGTTGAAGTCCACACACCTTAAATTTGCCAAGGTTGAGAAACCTTGCTTTAGAGCAGTATTTCCCAACCTTAGCCATGTAAAGGTGTATGGACGTAAACTCCCAGAATGCCCCAGCCAGCCTTGCTGACTAGGGTATTCTGGAAGTTGAAGTCCACACATCTTAACATGACTAAGGTTGGGAAACATTGCTTTAGAACAGAATTCCCCAATCTTTCTCGCTTGCTGGCCAATGTGGGGGAGGAGATGATTTCATGTGAGCAGTGGGCACATATGCCCACCTGCTTGCGCTAATGGAGCATGCATGCATGGGCTTACCCCCTGCTTGCGCAGCTGTGGATGCTTGTGCGCTTGCCCATCACTTCCGCAGCCTGGTTCTGAACGGCTCAAGACCCAGTAGTGGGCCACAGCCAGGAGGTTGGGGACCCCTACTCTAGAGCTTCATAGTCTTAAAAGGGGGAATTTCTTCAACTGCAATTTGAGCCAGAAATAAACCATGTGAATTAGCCGAGAAACTAATAACCCTTGAGGATCCCATCAATATGGGAGTCATGAGGGAACAGCCCAAATTCCAGGTATGGAAATCCTGAACCTGTTAAACATGCAGACAACAAAATTTATTTTGCAGATTGCCTATGTCTATTTGTTTCTCACCCTGAGAGGGCAGATTTAAATACTACAGGTGCAGCAATTTATTTAAAAAAAATATGAAGTGCTATTTTCACGCAATGTATTCAACCGGTACCCTATTTTACTTGTGCATGTCAGCTGAATGACAGGTTTGTTTTTTTTAAGCACACATGTCTTTAATTTGTTTAAGAAAAGTGTAGTGCCTCATACAAATGAATGTATATCTGCTTGTACATTTCTTCATTACTTAATCATTGCTTACTTAGTTTATTTAAGCAAGTGAGATGTGTAACCAGATGTTACACTGTGGAATGCAAGTTCACTGCTTTTCATTCCACTCCCTTTCTTAATTTTCTATCTTTTCCACACACCCTCCTTCCATAAGTACATTCAGTTCTGATTGGGCTGTTCTAGGAATACCTCTCTTTATATTCTTTATTTTTAGGGAGTTGTATTTTGGCCAACATTGCGTTGCCCTGAAGCCACTGTCAGTCCCATGCTGTGGCACAAATTGCAGTTTCAGCTAACACAGCAAACTCCTTCCTTTCTGATTGATTTGGAAATCAGTAAGGTGACTTAGGCAACCAAATTCTTTTCTTAAAAAAGGAACCAGTATTGAACTGTTAGAATAGCAGCACAGTAAAAACATCAACAACCTGCTAAAGGAGCAAATGCATAAAGGCTTGTTTGCACGTTCTTCAAAGATATACAATTTTTATCAAATAACTTTGGAAGAAAAGGGAGCATTTGGGTACCAGTAATGTGATTGTTTCTTCCAGAATTTTTTTTAAAGAGTACAAGACCTTTTGTCTTGATTGAGGGGAAAAGTATAAATTTTGTTCAATTCTCACCCAATTCTCATCTTTCAGGGGTGAGAGTGTTAACAAAATGAAGATGGCAATAGCAAATGAATGAAGCCCTGGCCCTTTTAGTGATACATGTTAAAATGGACCAAGCTTTGATCATGTGGTTGCAGTTGCCATTTTGACTTTTTTGACCTCCACGCGCCCCCTTGCTTTTGCCTATCTGCACTAGGTGAATTAAGCAGTTTCTACAATTTCCAGCACAGATGCTTTCATCCACAACATAACTTTTTTAAAAAACAAACAAAGAAGTCACAGTCCAAATTCATTGCTATAAATATGATTATTGGTTGACTTTTTTTATTTTTAAAAGAACTAAGGAATCAAAGCATTCTGCTTGCACTAGTGAATTGGTCAAATTGGTTTTTCCCCCCCTGCCTTTGAACTTTTTAAATGTTAAGTGTATGTGAGGAAATTTGAAATGTTTAACCAATTCCTATTTTAATATTGAAAGCAAGACAGTTTTGATGGATGATAATCTAATGTCAGGAAGAATTCTTGTGCAAAAGTGGAACCAGAAAATGTCTTAAGAATCCAGCTAATGATGAGTTGAAAAGGAAACCATCATCAATAGATCCATTTATAAAATGTTCTTTTTTGTTTATTCTCATTTCAGGGTTCCCCGGTTGTTGAAACCCCTGCAGAGCCCAAGGTAATGGGATCATGGACAAGTCTGATCATTGGATAGAAATACATCCTTGCAAAAAGTAGAGATAAAGAATCTGAGTTTGCTGCAAAATTTTATTTTTTTTAGCAGAACACATTAAAAGATATATACATTACAGTTTGGACATCAGAACCATGCTACCTTTGTATGCACAATAAAATAAGAATACAAAATAGGCCAGTCTGTACATTTTGTAGAAACCTATGGAATAGGCTTTATTTTATGGTGCTTGCAATTTACATACTGTATTTCTAAAGATTTTACTTTAGAAATCTCCAGAAATGGTTTTGAAATTTAAGCCGCAGTTAGATTAATTCCATTAATATGCTGAGTAGGACTCATGGGACATATAACACATAATGCATCCCCCTTGATGCTGCCGTTAAAATCTGCCTTCGTTTACCTCACTTCCCTTCTTTCAGACCCTCGCATCTTCTCATAGACTGTCAACTGAAATCTGTTCTTGGGGGCTGCACATGCACTTCATATAAACAGAGAAAATTAAGTGATAGTTTTCTATAGATATTGTGACATTAAGTAGAAGGGACTGAGTCAGCTTAGAAAGGATTAAGATCAAATTTGCTGATTAAATTGGCTTCTGAAATCAATAGAAAGTTGAACAACTTGGCAAGCAGGACATTTCTGCTTTCTACAAGGGGTTGGTGTCAGGAAAAACAGACTTCCGTTTTTTAGACCACAAAGGTACCTAACATATAGAAGTGGAAGAAAATACTTTACTCTTACATATGTGTCACTCTCGAGGGGGAATCCAGATAAGAATCACAACCAGATGAGCTATTTCTACTTTAGTAAAACTACATTGAAACAATCCTGCAAGTATGATATTCAAGTATCCCCCCCCCCCACACACACACATCAGTCTCCTTTACAGCCCAAGAAACTAAGGGGGGGTCTCTTTTAAGCCTCTTAATCCTCCAACTATCTAGGTGTGAGTGATATTGCCTCTTATTTGACTTCTCCCTTGACAGCATCTCTTTGCCCATTTCCCCAAGGTCTTTCTCACCTATCCTTACACTATATTCATAGGTAGAAAATTGGGCATAAAAAGATAAGCATATGAACTTAGATGAAAGGAAGTTAAAAAGTGTCAGACAGAGTCACTTATTTGAGTTGGGCAGCTAGAGAAATTGATTAAACAATCAAATAAAAACTTGTTATGGTGTCAACAGTAAGGTAAACCTTACAGCTTTCATTGACTAGCTGGTTAGACCATGTCACTTCCCAGGTTCTTCTAAATTCTGTATACAGGTAAGTCCTTGACTTATGACTGAAATAGAGCCCAACATTTCTGTTACTAAGCAAGGCAACTGTTAAGTGAGTAGTGCTCCATTTGCCACATTTGTTAAACAAATTACTGCAATTGTTACGTGAATCATGTGATTGTTAAGTGAATCTGGCTCCCCGCATTAATTTTGATTGTTGGAAGCTGGCTGGGATGGTTATAATTTGTGATCGCATGATCCCAGGACCAGTGCAATTGTCACAAATACATGCCAGTTGTCAAGGGCCTGAATTTTGATCACATGACCATGGGGATGCTGCAATGGTCACAAGTGTGAAACCCAGTCATACGTCAATTTGTTCAATGCTGTTGTAACTGTGAATTGTCACTAACAGAATGGTTGAAAGTCAAGGACTATCTGCTATTGTGATTCAGCTCCTTGGGAATCTCAGCATTTACTCATTCCTCCATCCCAATATTTTTTTTACTCTTAAAGTCAGTATTAAGAATTATGTGTAAGCCAAACAAATGCTCATTTCATTCTCCATCATTTTCTTCCCAGATTCTAATTTTTGAAAGGCCACATTTCCAGGGTCGTAGCTGGGAAGTAAGCCGAGATATTTACAACTTAAGGAAGTCAGAAAACAACCAGGATTCCATGATGTCCACTGCTGGTTCTCTCAGAATCATGGGAGGCTGGTGAGCAGTTTTGGATAACCTGATTTCCCCCATTTGTTTAATGTTGCTTCGCCTATAGCAGTTCAGGGAAGCAAAAGCAAGGCAAAGACAAGCCACCCTGGGCTTTAAAAAGTGGATTTTGCTGATTGTTATTAGTATTGTTTTCTTACTGTTTCTTATTGCATCATATTATATTCTTGTTACAATATATATATATCTGTACATCACTGGGGACCCATCCAGAACCATACAATAAATAAGATGCAAAAATATTGTATCAGTAACTGGACAAAGGAATTAGGTTGTACAATTAGTACTCAGTATATCATTGATGAAAAATAACCATAAAAAGACATTGTTATTTTTAATAGCAAGGAAAAGGATTTTAGAGATCTTTTTCAATTTCTGAAATGAATACTAAATTTTCCACTATTTCTCCACCCAAAAAATTCCCTTCCTTTGCACTTGTTTGTTTTCTGTCTCTCTCATACATTTTTTTAAAAGAAAGATTAATTTAAAAAGAAAAATACAAAAAGACTATTTTTGCTGCAGGAACCATATTGTCCGTTGTTAAATAGGCTGATCTGGGAAAGGAGAGAAAGAAAAATCCCAAAGGTGCTTTTCCAAAAAGGCAACTGGACTTTCTTGGCATTTTCCTTGTAAACGTTTAGCCCAGTGATGGAGAACCTTTTAGAGACTGAGTGCCCAAACTGCAACCCAAAACCCACTTATGTATCATCGGGTGCCAGGTGGGTGTGGCCCATTGGGTGGGCGTGGCCCATTGGCTGGGCGTGGCTGCAGTGGTAACAGCAGACAGGGTGGGACTAAAAAGTTCAATCAATCAATTCCAACTTTGCAAGATCTTTTTTTTCCCCGCGAGAAGTTGAAATTGACTCATTGATTGAACCTTTTTTTTTTTTGCACATGGCGGTGGAGGCCTAAAGTGAAAAGGTTTTATAAAACCCAGCTGAAGGCCTAGGACTGGGGCGATGGTGTGCGTGCCCACAGAGAGGGCTCTGAGTGCCGCCTCTGGCACCCGTGCCGTAGGTTCGCCACCACTGGTTTAGCCTCTCATCCAAAAAGCTTCTTCAGTTCTGACTGACTGGTCAGTCACCATTCAGTCAGAACGGAAGAAGCTTCTTGGGTGAGAAGCAAAATGTTTTCAAAGAAAAAAACCAAGAAAGTCCAATTGCCTTTTTGGAAAAGCACCTTTGGGACAACCAAGAGCTGGATGATTGAGAATCTCCATAAGACTTGAGAGAAAGAAGGACTTTTATATTCAGGAATAGTTTCCCTCTTTTCCCCTCTTTTATTGTTGGTGTATTGTCATCTCCAGCTGGGTTGGCTATGAGAAAGAAGGTTTCCGTGGCCATCAGTACCTATTGGAAGAAGGGGAATACTGTGACTGGACAGACTGGGGTGGCTATAATGAAGAGTTATTGTCGCTGAGGCTGATCCGGACAGTAAGTCTGCCTGTTTGCTCACTGAATTAAAAATAGGAGATCTATGGTGCTTCGGTCCTGCAGCATTATCTAAGGAAATATTTAACCTTTATTATAATGTTTCTCAACCATGGCTACTGTAAGGACCCACCCCACTTTGCATCTTAAGAAGACAGAACTCTTGGAATATTTCTTCCAACAGGCATCTTTATTAAGAGAAAACTGGTTGCAGGCATTCTAGACAGGACTTGGGGTCCAAGCTCTCCCATTCAAGGTTTTAAGGGATCCCCCAGTAGCCCCACCCCATCACCCCCGTCTTCCAGCGACAGTCCCAGGCATTACATTCCCACCCCCTTTTTCCTCACTGCCGGGAGGGAAGACTTCAGAAAGGATTACATGAAAGGTAATGGCCCCATTGTTATTGTTAGTCCTTCTGGTGATATCCACATCCAGTCCCTTTGAAGTATACTGAAGGAAGTGAGGGCCATAAAGCCCCTTTGTTCACCCCCTTCCCTTCATCATATGACAGAATCCAGAGAAGGCAGAAATGGGGTTTTCCATAGTTGATAACTAGAGATGAAATATAATTGGATTCTGACAGCTACTTTAGAATGTGTGGACCTCAATTTTCAACTCCCAGAATTCCTGCTGGCGGGGGAATTTTGGGAGGGACATCCGTTGATCTTAAAGTTGCTAAGGTTGGGGAACATGGCTTTAGAGGATGGATTTCTAAACTTTTCACTATCACACTTCTAGTGTAATCTTAAGGTACCCAACTCCTTTAAAAAAAATCCAAATATCAAAATGAACATAAACCATGAGAACAACACAATGAGACTGGTGGTGGTAGTGGTGGGGTAGACATAAAAAAAAAGGGTGAAATATTCATTAAAAAAAGTGGAATATTGAAACGGTGGGGTATCCAACAGAAGGGGGCAACCACACAAGTGAAGGGGGCTTAGACTTAACAAAGACATAAAAAAGCAAACTTTGTGCCTCCTCTACCACCATGTTACTCACTTCAAAGTAGTATTTTGAGAAAGGTGGATTTATTATAACCGTGTACACATAGTCCTTGACTTACAACCACAACTGAGCCCAAAATTTCCACTGCCGAGCAAGATAGTTCTTATGACCTTTCTTGCCAGAGTTAAGTGAATCACTGCCGTTGTTAAGTTAGTAACACAGATGTTAAGTGAATCTGGCTTCTCCATTGATTTTGCTTGTCAGAAGGTTGCAAAAGGTGATCACATGACCCCGGGATAATTTGAGTTTCAGAGGGCAATTCTAGGCCACTCTACCAAGAACATGGGTAAATAATATTGCTACGTTATGATACATTCACTTTTTTTTAATCTCTCTGAGTAGGACTTTTTGGACCCAGCCATTGTACTTTTTGAAGCCATGGATTTTGAAGATGGCCCCTGTGTTGAGCTCAGTGAGGCTTTGCCAGATGTTGAGCTGGCCAGCTATGGCATCATGACACAGTCCATCCATGTCCTGAATGGAGTGTGAGTATTTGCTGAGGAAATGTAGAGAGATCACCTTGATGGGAACAGGCAAAATCTGTTACCTGGGCAAAAGGGACTGAAACTTTCTTTTCAGAAGCGGTGAATGCTCCAACACTGGAAGTTTTTAAGAAGAGACTGGACAGCCATTTGTCTGAAATGGTATAGGGCAGTGGTTCTCAACCTGTGGGTCGGGACCCCATTTGGGGTCGATCGACCATTTCATGGGGGTCGCCAAGCAAGGCTGTCTGCCATTTTTTTTGTCCGCCATTTTTTTCCCCTTTTTCGGCGGGTGCCTTACCTCCCTTGGGCTGGGCCAGCTGGTGGTTGGCCTGCTCCGTCTCTGCCACTTGCCAGCTACACCTTGGCCAGCGCAGGGGGCAGAACCATGCATGCGCGGCGCTCCTGGGCAGGGAAAGTCATTGACTTACGACCGGTTGGGTAGTCCTCGATTTACGACCGGTTTAGTCCTCGACTTACAACCAGTTTAGTCCTCGACTTATGACTGGTTGGGGTCGCGGCATTAAAAAGGTTGAGAACCACTGGTATAGGGTTTCCTGCCTGAGCAGGGGGTTGGACTAGATGACCTGCAAGGTCCCTTCCAACTTTATTATTATTATTATTATTATGATGTTCAAAAATGGATGGTACAGAGCCCTCCTTGATTCACCCATTCCTCATTTAATGATCAAGTACCCTTTCAACGATCAGGTTGTTAAGTGAAATGGTCACTAAGAGAGAAAGAGAGAGAGAGAGATGCAGCAAAGATCACTGCTTACCGCTGTCTCAAGGAGAGAAACTTAGTAATAAGGAGACATTTCTTGACAGTGAGAACAATTAATCAGTGTCACGTCTTGCCTTCAGAAGTTGAGGGTACTCAATTTACTGGAGGTTTTTAAGAAGAGATTGGACAGGCATTTGTCTGAAATGCTATAGGCTCTCCTCCTTGAGCAGGGGGTTGGATTGGAAGACCTCCAAGGTCCCTTCCAACTGTGTTATTCTGTTATTCTGTAAGTTGTCTCATATCGCTCCACCAGCGTTACTCAGTGCATCTTACACATGTACTGTATTGGGATATCAACTTTCTAAATTCCCAACCAGCAATGTTAGCTTTCAAACTCCCTGTCTCAATTTTGGCCAGGCTGTAACCTCAGCATTCCTGGGACCAAAGTTTTAAATCAGTAACTGTAACTGTTTTCAGAGGATAACAGAAGGGATAGAACTGATACCCCACCAGAACACTGTTTTGGGACTAGTACATGAATATGGAGTTGCAGATAATTTTATTTCCTTTGCTGTGACCAGGTGGGTAGCCTATGAAGACAAGAATTTCAATGGGGAACAATATATTTTGGAGAAAGGAGTATATCGCAACTGTGAAGACTGGGGAGCAACCAGTTGCCAGATTGCCTCCGTGCAACCTGTCCTACAGGTAAGGTCCAGACGTCTGTCAGTTCAGATATGATGTCCTGCAACCCACATTCCAAGTCTCCAAGCGACAACTTTCTTTGCATCCTTCTGCATTTGCATATAGCCCTGCTGGTGATCTGAAGTAGGAAGTCCATTCCATTAAAAAAGGGGAAGCCTTAAAGTTTTGCCTTGTATGCTCTCCTATCTTCTTCAGAGATTAACAACTAAGCAATGAGCAGTGTGGTCAATCTGGCTGAACACACAATGTTTTTCAGAGAATTCTTTTAGTCCAAAACTGAAAAGAGGTTGCAGTGCACTGGCCATTTTCCCATTTGAAATGATCTCACTCACATAGTGAATTCTGTAGCATAGTTACACCTCTTTTCTACTTTGTGCTAGCCAGATCATCCAATCGGTAATAAACTCAGTGGTGGGATGCAGCCGGTTCGCACCACTTCGACAGAACCGGTAGAATGGACTTCCGGAAGCGGCATCCACACAGAGAACCAGTTATTGACCTATTTGAATCCCACCACTGAATAAACTGTACATTTCTCTAACCTGGTCCAAATACTGTATCATAATTTATTTTTATTTCCCCACCTCTCCCTCTACCAGGTTGGGGAACGCAGCCTGTTCTTCATTTCTAAGGTGAGTAGCTGATACTGAGAAGTAAGGCATGAAGGTAGTTTTTAATGTCACATTATGCTACTCTAGCAAAATTACCACATTTGAGTTGGTTTGGTCCATTAGCTCAGAGGTGGGCAAACCCAAAGCTGTTTATAGGTTTTACATCAGGGGTAGTCAACCTTGGCTCTTTTATGACTCGTGGACTTCAACTCCCAGAATTCCTGAGCCAGCTAAGCTGGCTCAGGAATTCTGGAAATTGAAGTCCACGAGTCATAAAAGAGCCAAGGTTGACTACCCCTGCTTTACATGATGCTTCTTGAGCCTTTACTAAACTGGACCACTGATCCTATTTTGCTTCCCTCTCCTATCCCAATAATAAATAAAGGCTGTATTTAATATAGCTTTCCTGAAATTTCATAATCTTTACCCTGCTTCTTCTGGTAGCCTTATTGCCATGATTCCTATGTTCCTCACAGGCAATTAGCTAAATAAAAATTAAAAGTGCAACACACCTCCCCTCTCAGATTAAAAAAAACAAACATTGGTTTCTTCTGTAGTAACTGGATGATGAGGTTATTTATATTTTATAGATATAGTATTTTCAGAGAAGAAGGATGGATAAGAATCATATTGTTATAGTAATACATTAGGTTCATCAATGAAAATACGGTAGTCATCGTCCTTTGAATGCCTCCCCACAGGCCTTGGCAACTTTAAGATGGGTGGACTTCAACCCCCAGAATTCCCCAGCCAGTATGGGGAAGGCAAAACAATTTCCTTTCCTTACTTAAGGAATTCTGAAAACCATCATTTTAAAAACAAAATGGTTACAACTGTGGGACAGTTATTCCAAGCCACTTCAGTCTATCTCCTGTTCACATCAAGATATTTTTGACTCCCTAGATCCAACTCTTCACCGAACCTGATTTCTCGGGAAACTCCATGACTTTTCAGGAGGACCAAGCAACTCTTCCAGAGAACTTAATCCTCCATTCCTGTAGGGTCAATGGAGGCAGGTAATGATCTCTTGTCAATAGGACCTCCCTCGTTCATTCTCATTTTGTTCTTGCCACTCTGCCAGTGTTTCCTGTTCCAGATCCCAAAGAAACGGTGCTCAGTTCCCTTCCGCTTATAGAAAAGGAGGTAGGATCCAGAGGTTTCTACAGGAGGGAAGTAGAGTAATTCTCAAAGGGAGGGAAGTCTATCCAAAGTACAGTTCAGAGAGTGAAATGCCTCAGTGGGTTGATAACTTTTCATATAAAGCAGCAATGTCAAAGTAGTTGACAAATATAACTCTGAGTCATTTTGTGGGGCTTCCCCAGACAGTCCTGTCAACTGAGCCATTGACGTCAATGGGGAAAAAAATAACAGAGGGAAAAAAATTACCATAGCATATGTAGAAAGAAAAAGTGGGCGGAGAGAATAAAACCAACATTTTCCTTTTGAGCTTCTAGGAAACTTAAGAGGAATTCCTATGCCTCCTTTGGGCTTATATTATATATATATATATATATTGCTATTCAGATGGTGTTCAGGTAAATTTCAAAGGGAGATCAGGTTTCCATGAACTCATAATTGTTTCTTTGATGAGCTTTTGATCGCTGCCTCTAAAGTCACACACAAGTCACATTAAAATTGTCTCTTCTTAGCTGGATTCTTTATGATGGCCACCATTTTGATGGTGAGCAGCACGTTCTCTCAGAAGGCGAGTATCCAACACTGAGCTCCATGGGTTGTGCCTTTACCACAGCTATCTGCTCTCTGAAGAAAATCCCTATTGTAAGTTATGACGATCATCCTCCTAAGCCTTTATCTGATGTTCTTATTACTCAGCTGCTGCCGAGAAAACTACATGGACATGGACATGTCCAAGAGTCAAGTTTGACTCAAGCAAAGAGTCTTTCTCTTTTTGATTGTCCAGTTTTGGGAAGTATAAGTTCAAGATAGGAAGAGGATACCTTTTCACATTAGAAACAATTAACTTAAGAAACTGCTTGGTACGAGATATGGAAGTAACTGGTCAGCTAGTCAAAATAATTGCAGTAATTTGATTTAGAAAAGTCAGGGCAATTTATTAGTGCTGGGGGCATCAAGAAGAACATTCTTCCTATCCATGGGCTTCTGGCACTGCCATTCGGTCACTATGGAAAGGAAAGTGCCAGGCTAGGTGGACTCACCTTATGTGTTCCTTCATTCAATAATTTTTTATGTTGTATTTATTTTACACTTCGTTATGTTGTTTATTGGACTACAATTCACATCGTCCTCAGGCAACTTGATTATAGGTTGCACACCAATGATAATGGGAATTGTAGTCTAACATACTTCTGAAGACCCCCCTCTTGGAAAGGCTGTCTTATACTGTCCATTATCGGTCTGTTTTTCCCCATTTTTCCAAGATGAGACCTTGATAAAATCCAAATAAAATGAAATTTATACCCCTTGGAATAATTGTTATTGTTACCTGTTAATGATCATCCTCATCTTTTCCAAAATAATTCTCATTCACTTGAAATTCTTGTAATTAGAGCAGCAGCTGCTCAGGGAATTTCCAACTTGCATGCCAATCTCTCAACAAAGAGCTTTCCCATCATACGTTGAGGCTGCCTACATGACGTAGTTTGATCAAATAACCCCCACTCTGTTTTCATCTTGTTCTCTGCTCTTCCTGGTTTGTTTGTTTTTTTACAGTTCTTCTCTGAGCCTTCCATCTTCCTGCATGGACTGGAGTGTTTCGAAGGGAAGGAGATTGAGTTGAATAGTGAAGTACGCAGCCTGAAAGCTGAAGGGTTTAATAATCACGTGCTCTCCGTCCGGGTAAAGGGTGGGATGTAAGTAAAGAAAAAAACAAGGGGATGGACCGTTCGCTTTGCGTTGCATTTGTCTCCTTCCAAACCGCAGATTCAGCCCAGCTTCTTCATTTATCTGAACTTTTGAATGCACTTTCAGTAGTGTATACAGGTAGTCCTTCACTTACATCAGTTCATTTAGTGACCGTTTGAAGTTACAACGGCACTGAAAAAAGTGACTTATGACCGTTTTTCATACTTATGACCTTTTGCAGCATCCACCTCGTCACGTGATCAACATTTAGGTGCTTGGCAATTGGTTCACGTTGATGACGATAGTGTCCTTGGGGTCACGTGATTCCCTTTTGCGACCTTCTGACAAGCAAAGTCAATGGGGAAACCAGATTCACTTAACAAAGGTGTTACTAATTTACCAACTGCAGTGACTCACCTAACAAGAAAGGTGGTAAAATGGGGCAAAGCTCACTTAACAAATGTCTCACTCAGCAACAGAAATGTTGGGCTCCATTGTGGTCATAAGTCAAGGACTACCTGTACATTCTTATTCAAATTGTTTCCTCCTTGTGTAGGTTGTATCAGCCATTTCCGCCATTGAGCAACGCTTTTTATATGCGTATTCTTCTAATATGTGTCTTTAGGTGCATATTTTGCATTTGTTCTTATTTGGTTGTTCTGGCTTTGGTCTTAAGCTTTTCCAAACCTGTTGCTGTGATGCTGAAGGATTCTGGGTTTTGCCTTCAAGTCAGCATTGACTCTTGGCAACTGCCTGGAATGGTCCCTGCAGTTTTCTTGCAAAGTTTTTTAGAAGTGGATTGCCATTGCCTCCTTCTTAGGACTGAGAGAAAGTGACTGGTTTAAGGTCAACCAGATTTGTGTCCAAGGCAGGACTAGAACTCACAGTTTCTAGCTAATGCTTTGACCACTACACCAAACTGACTCTCACTGACTGAAGGATTGGGTGGATTGAAAGCCAACACATCCTGAGAGAACACTAATTGGGGACAGTTGCTGTAAAATTATCATTTTCCAAGGCAATATGCATTTATCCTTGAGACTGATTGTGTAAGCAATCAGTGTATGGGGTCCTTGGTGCTCTCTGAGCTTAGTTGTTTTCTTGCAGACGTTTCATTACCCAATTAGGTAACATCATCAGTGCTTAATTGAGTAGCAATCACCATTACCTGCATAGTTGAAAAGCTGGAGAGTAATCACTATTACTTACTTGGGTAATGAGATGTCTGCAAGAAAATAACCAAGCAACAAGGACTTCATAGTTCAACCATGAGCTACAAATATTCACTTCTTTTGGTACAACGAAAGTATCTTGAGCTTCTCTGGGCAAAAAACATTTGACAACTGATACTGATCAATGACCTTTTTGCTAATGTTTTTCCTCCTATGACCGGTTTGATTCCAATTCACAGCTGGGTGCTCTGTGAACACAGTGACTTCCGAGGTCATCAATGGGTTTTGGAATGCACAGAGATCACCAACTGGCTGACATACAGTGGGATTCAACAGATTGGCTCCTTGTACCCCATCAAGCAGGTGGGTCTCACAGTTTTCTGATCATCTGTGAAAAAAGTAAGGTTCTACATTTAGGCAAGAAAAACCAAATGTACAGGTATAGTATAGGGGATACCTTGCTCAATAGTAGTAACTGTGAGAGGGATCTCGGAGTCCTAGTGGACAATCATTTAAATATGAGCCAGCAGTATGCTGCAGCTGCCAAAAAAGCCAACACAGTGCTAGGCTGTATTAACAGAGGGATAGAATCAAGATCACGTGAAGTATTAATTCCACTTTACAATGCCTTGGTAATGCCACACTTAGAATACTGCATCCAGTTTTGGTCACCATGATATAAAAAAGATGTTGAGACTCTAGAAAGAGTACAGAGAAGAGCAACAAAGATGATTAGGGGACTGGAGGCTAAAACATATAAGGAACGGTTGCTGGAATTGGGTCTGTCTAGTTTAATGAAGAGAAGGACGAGGGGGGACATGATAGCAGTGTTCCAATATCTCAGGGGCTGCCACAAAGAAGAGGGAGTCAAGCTATTTTCCAAAGCACCTGAAGGCAGGACAAGAAGCAACGGGTGGAAACTAACCAAAGAGAGAAGCAACCTAGAACTAAGGAGAACCTTCCTGACAGTTAGAACAATTAACCAGTGGAACAACCTGCCTCCAGAAGCGGCGAATGTGCCAACACTGGAAGTTTTTAAGAAGAAACTGGACAGCCATTTGTCTGAAATGGTATAGGGTTTCCTGCCTGAGCAGGGGGTTGGACTAGATGACCTCCAAGGTCCCTTCCAACTTTATCATCATCATCATCATCATCATCATCATCATCATCATCATNATTATTATTATTATTATTATTATTATTATTATTATTATTATTATTATTATTATTATTATTATCTGGGATGGATGGATAAACATAGATGGAATTGAATGAATACATGTGACCACCAGACTCTCCTCTTTACTACTTGTGCAGGGATGTTAGAAAAAAAAAATAGAGCAAATAGATATGAGATTTCTATGTATGTTATAACTAAGAAATAAGTACATATTGGCTCTACATCTAAGAAAAGATTGCAAGTCTGTATTAAGAACAATATTTCAAGAGTCTAAGCTCTTTTGGAAAGACAATGTTTGTAAAGCAATGGTCTCTTCTCTCCTGAAAAGGAAGCAGGATGTTTTTCTCTTTATACGGGGCCAAGAGTTGGGCGAGATGATTTTGGGGGTATCTTTCAATTCTATGACAGCTGTAGTTCTTTGCAACCAGAATTTTCTGCCTGTGTTTTTGTTGCTCAGTGTTCGACCTATAACATCCAAGTAAGCATTCCCAATCTTGTAGATACTATAGAGATGTTATTCCACGGTACAGGACTTGTTTACAAGCCCAGACAATTCAAACTAATTCACAGTGTTATCGTTTTTAACATTCATCTCTCCTCCCCTTTTTGCAGAGAAGGATCTATTTTCGAATAAAAAATCAAGAGTTGAAGACCTTCCTTTCTGTGCCTGATGATGTTGAAGACATGAAAGCTGGACGAGTTCTGGTTTCGGAGATCAATGACCAGAACAGCTGCATCTGGTACTATGAAGAGGGACTTATGAAGAACCAAGTAAGAGCCTTCATCCACTTGGATGGAGATAGAGGTTGAGGCAATCAAGAATGTATCAATCTGGTTCTAGATATACCCAAACATTTATACCAGGTCCAGGGAGCTTGTCTCCCAGTAGGGTAAATAGTGTAGAAACAAGCAAGATGAGTAATATCCTAGATGTGGGACTTGCAACATAAAGTTGCAGAATGGAGTGTATCCTTCAGGATTCCAACCGTTTCTCCATTTGATCTCCTCATTAGATTTCCATCCCACTTGCTCAAAATCTCCCCATCCCTGGAGTGAAGAAAACAATTCATCTTGCCCATCTATATTGGCTGTTTCAGTTTTTCCAAGCTGAAGATTCTATTTTTTTCTAGATAATTAATATATAGTAATCCATGATCCTGTACTACCTTTAGCAGAATGCTAACTCTCTGCAGAATTTTTTGTATATTTTTTTGTAGTGGCACTTGGGCCATCCCTTAGATCACATTGTTGCCTCCAAAGACAGGCAAGATTGTCCATTCATCCATAGAACTGTCAGTGTTGACTTTTGGACACTTTGGGCCTGAAAACCTCTTTTCTGTTTCCTGGAATCGTTAATCAGATATTTCTGCCCCCCCAAATTCATTTGCTTCTGATCCTGGAGTCAATAAGTAGCCATCATGATGAGAAACCATTGACGGAGGAATATCATCCATGAGTTTAAAGTCTTCTGATTGAAGACCTTCACCATTAAAGTCTTGCACGAGCCAATAACTTTCATATATGTTGGAGTATAATCCCTATAGTCTCAGCCAACCAATCCAATTCTACCTGGTGATCATGGAGGTTGTCCTCCAACATATCTAGACCAGATCAGATTGAGGAAAGATCCCATAATTTAATGCTGCTTTGATGATGAAAATAAAAAAAATACTAATAATGGTGCTTTTTATCAGAATTTGTAAAAATGCTTACCCTGTTCTTGGTTTTCAGATTGCACCCAATATGAGTCTCCAGGTGATTGGTGCAGCTACAAAGGGCACCAAAGTGGTTTTATGGTCTGAGAGTCGAATGCCCCGGCAGACATGGAGAATTGATTCATTTGGAAGAATATGCAGCCAGATGTTTGAAGATAAAGTTCTAGATTTGAAAGGTATGAGAATGGGGTGTGGGGGTGTGTATGATAATTCTGACTTAGCTCCAAAGAACAGTTTCAGAAGACAGGATTTAGGAGGGACTAAACAACCTGTATTGGGCCATTGTTTCTAAGATATTTGCTTATCAGATTCCTCAATGTCTTCAACAATAACAGAGCTTCTAATATACTGCCTTCCCTAGAAAAGTTGGGATACATCAGAGATGTATCTGCCTTGAAAATAGCACACATTGAACTGCATAGCACAGTCAAACATCAGCACAGGAAATATTTTGTGGCATTTTGTATGATGTCATAAACTATTTTATATTTAAAGCATAAAGTATTTTATAAAAGTTGCCAAATTCCAGTTCCACAGGAGACATGGGTCCTAGATTTTGGATGCATTTTGTAAATTAGCCCATTTCAAACGGTGCACCGTTTTGCCCAGTTGAAGATTATAGAAATTAGAATTTTATTAGCATATAGTTTATTCTGGCAGGAGTTATCAAACCATAGCTGGATCAGCCTGCATTCATTAGAATTTCCTCCATTCTCAGGACCCGGTTCCTAGAAATATCTTCTATTTATTGTATTACATAATGGTGAATGCATGTTTAAATGCTTACTATATATGCGCTACCTCTTATTAATATAGTAATACATAAATATGCAGATATTGTAATATAGTAATATAATACTTGATATTGCATGTGTTGAAAATGCCTGTTTTATTTTATAGTAATGTTTAAATACATTCCTAATATATATTACAACAGTATATACAACAAGTAGTTCTTGATCTTGTTTTTATTACAGGCATTATGTCAGTAATTTATAAATATGTATGACAATATCTTACATATTACAGCAATATTTAATAGTTGACATTGTTTAAATTGCTTATATGCATTATGGTAAAATATGCAATATATATTACTTCATATTATGTAACTATTTTAAAATATTTATAAACATTTTCTCATGATAACATATACAGTATAGTTACACAAATAGCTAATACAGCAATATAACATTTCATATTGTAAAAGTCTTTAAAATGCATAGGTACGCTATGTGAAATGGAATACATTATAATAATATAGTTTTTGTGCTTAAAATGCATATATAGATAATGCATATAGATACGCTATATAATATGCTGTAATTGTTCTCTTATGTGTTTAAAATGCTTATCTGCATTTTCATAGTAATATTTCATACACAGTATAATATATAGCATGGCTAACTGCAGTAACATAGTACATGATATGCATTAATTCCCAGTGATGTAGTAATATATAAATAAGAATTTATAATATTAATATGGTCCTTTAATTTGCAAAATCTTTCAAATGCCTTACAGGCAATTTTCTCACAGCAAACCCTCCTGATAGCTGCTCTCCTTCTTTGAGCAACGTGCCAGCAGCCACGTTGAAAAAAAAGAGCAGAGCCAGGGCCCAAAATACATTGAACTTAATTTAAAATTAATGTTCATGAATATTAAAATGGAATGTCTTAATACTGTCAATAGGATTACTCTTGGTGTCTTTCTGCTTTCCTCCTGGCCATATAAAGTTACAACATCACTGAAAAAAGTGCCATATAACTGTACTGTTTTTCACACTAACGACCGTTGCAGCATCCCCATTTGGTCACGTGATCAAAATTCAGACGCTTGGCAACTGGTTCATATTTATGACAGTTGCAATGTCCCAGAGGGTCACATGATAATCTTTGGCGACCTTCTGAGGAGCAAAATCAATGGGGAAGCCAGATTCTCTTAACGACCGTGTTACTAACAAATGTCTCACTTAGCAACAGAAATTTTGGGCTCAATTGTGGTCGTAAGTTGAAGACTACCTATACTGGAAGAAGTTGGTATTGATATCGGAAGAAATTGATTTCCCGCGTTGTGCCTGCTATTTAGGTGTAACTTCCCATTGCTTCTTTCCAGTGCACACTCACCCTTTCCTCCTGTCTTGCTAGGAGGCAGAACCTACGACCGGGATCACGCTGTCCTCTGGGAGTCATCTGAAGAGAGACCCACACAGATTTGGGATATTCAAGTGCTGTGAAGAAGGCAGGAAGGGGATCAGGAGCAGAACAGGAGCTCACGTTGCAAGTCATCCATCTTTGGGGTGGAAAACATTAACCATGTTTTTGGTCAACCTAAGCCACCTGTCCTTTCCCAAAGCTCACAATCTGAAAAAAAAGCACAATTGTTTAATGATACAGATTTGAGACTGATTTTCTCAGTCTTTTTGCACTGAGCATATGTTTCCTTCTATGCTTTTGTTTTTTTTAGCTGCCCAAAATGATGCTTTCCGAAGCACAGAGTATTGCACAATTCGAAGAGACAAGTCATTCACCGTTGACAGGGCTGGGACTCAAACAGGAAGAGGCATCCCAGCTGGGTTGGATATTTAAAAAGAAATTCAATTAACATAAGAACCTATACATATATATATATAGTATATATTATATAAGCATGCACAATCATGCTTGTGCCTTTTACTCTTTTTTTTCCTAAGGGAAAGGCCTTCCTACCTTTAAAAATTCTATTTATGTATCTATGTACTATAAGATGCTTTTATAAACGTATCTTTCTCTGGTGGATTTGCTTGATTCTCTTATTTCCCACTGAAATAGGCTCCAGGGATATGATGGCTATGTAAATATACAGGGTTATGAAAATGGTTAGGGACTTTGTAGCATCTGCCTTGGCAGAAATAAAGGGTAACAAACATTTCCTGTAGCAAGATTAAAGTCTTTCTACAGTACTTTTCCATTTAGAATTCTTTTTCCAACTCTTTCTTGCAGAATTCTTTTTGCTCAGAAATATTCTTTCACTTTATTGCAGGGGTGTCAAACTGCCAGCCCGTGGGCCGGATGCTTCATGCCGAAATTGCGTCCACCCCAGCTCCGGCAATGGAAAAAAAGTCGCAATATATCGCAACACGTCACGTGACATGGCAAGTTTGACACCCCTGCTTTATTGCATGCACTGTATATCTGAAATCTTCCCACAGCGTATCAATAATATTAAAATTTGAGGACGGTTAGCTGGCACACACCTGTAAGGACATAAAATATACAGAACTAGTCCACACAGTTAGTAACTAGCCGGAGTCCAAAACATTATCCAAATATAAATAAAAAGCTCATTGAGCTACTGATAATCTATATTTCTTTCTATCAAATCATTAGACAGAGTCTTTGATTTTTCAAAGCCTTGGTGGAAGATTACAGTTGAGTTACAAAAATAATTGCATCTCATCATAGTTTCAGCCATGGGAGGGCAATGTTTGCTTTGAATTGTATGTTGCAGTTTTGATGGCAAATCAGTTCTCACACGTCTTCTATTAAGGAGGAGAGATTCACATATGACATTGCCCAGAGCCACATTCAGCAGAGCCATAACTAGGTACAAATATATTTTGACCACCCTCTCTAAAGCGACATCTTCTTTCTATAATCTATCCCAGTGATGGCGAACCTTTTAGAGACCGAGTGCCCAAACCGCAACCCAAAACCCACTTATTTATTGCAAAGTGCCAGGGCCGCATCAGCATTGTGCTGCCCTCAGGGAGGGGCAGGGATGCGCCTCTGAGTGTCAGCTCTGGCATGCAAAAACCGGGGGCGCAAAAATGGTCCACCATGCTGCAAGGGGCAAAAACGGCTGCCGCCGTGCCATGGCATGCAGATACAAGGTGCTGCACCATGCAAGAACAGGGCAGGCCTAGTGAGTATCACGCAGGCACTAGCCCTGCCCCATCTGCAGCACGTGCGTGTTTGCGGCCCTGTGCGCGCATGCACATATGTAAAATGCTTCCCCCTCTCTTTTCTTCCAGTCCACCAATCGACACTTCTACTCGAGCTTGCTAGTCGGCCGCTTTGCCTCCTTTATGATGGCGGGGCTCCTGCTCCGGGTGGCGGTGGCAGCCTGATGGACCTGTGCTAGTGGCAGTGGCATGCGTGCCAACAGAGAGGTCTCTAAGTGCCGCCTCTGGCACGCATGCCATAGGTTCGCCACCACTGATCTATCCTATAGAACTGCTATGAAGAATATTGGGAACCACTTCTTTATATTTGCTTTTATTTTCAATTCAATTCTCTCCCCCCCCCTGTTCTTTGTACGTTTTAGCTTTTTCTCTGATTGTTCTTTTTCTTTTTTTCATTCCTTACTTTCTATTAGTCTGTGTTAGCTTTTATCTTCTTGTTTAAAAGTTTTTAATAACAATTAAATATGTATATTTTTAAAAAGGAATATGTCAAAAACAAATGCATGTGGCATCTGCCTTACAGGTTAGTTATGCCATTTTTTAAAAAATGTATTGTCCTGATGAGTCTTTTAAAATATTCCTGCACATAATAATAAGTGACCTTACTTTCAGAGCAGAACCAAATCAGTGCTCAGATGGTCGACTTAAGTCAGAGGTTATGGAGAAGACTGCGGGATTTCCATCCTTTTTAGAATAATGGATATTTTTTCCTGGGTACTCACCCCCCCCAAAAAACCCCTCTGTCCTACTATTAAACTTATCTTTTGGTAAAGTAGCTGCCATAGAGGGCTTGGCACAAAACACTGATTTAGCACAGGACTCTCCAAACTTGACAACTTTAAGACTTATGGACTTCCACTCCCAGAATTCCTCAGCCAGCCGTGCTGGCTAGGGAATTCTGGGAGCTGAAGTCCACAAGTCTTAAAGTTGCCAAGTTTGGAGATTCCCAATTTAGCAGAAAGCAAAGTAATGAAATAATTTTCTTTCCTCCTCTTCAACATTGCAGAGTCCTATCAACCCTTCAACTTGCTTTTGTCTTTTCCTGGCCAGAAGGGCACAATATAGTAGTGTCTTTCCACTTTTCTTTTCTAAAAATGCTTATGCAGCTTACAATCAATATTGGAAACGATTCTGAAGTCTCATAGAGGAATGCTTGGCTTATTGGTGTCCATAAATGCTATGTGGAGGACCCCTGGAATAATGAGAAAAAATGTATCTAATCAGATGTCACATATCTACAAAACGACCCATAAACCCATCAAATTCCCACCTTTCTTTGGAATAATTTTTCAGGGGCTCCATTCGGAGGAAAAGGAGAAATTCCCATTGCTTTAGTGGCTTGAGATCCCAAAACAAGCGAGTATCTTCACTTTAGTAGCTGTGGAGAAGACATTTCACGACAAGCTACATTGGTTCCCTTTCTTGTTTACTTCTGGCCAGCATCCCAGCCAGATACTGGGATGCTGGGAAACGTTTTCCTTGATGTGGAGCTGGCTATGACAGGCCCTTTGGAGTACTTTAAGGACCAAACAAGAACTGGTGGAATATGGAAGCCTTTGCATCTGTCCTTGAACCAACAGAAGTCAACGAAGTTGTAGAATGTGCTGTAGAGCAGCGGTCTTCAAACTTGGCCCTTTTATGACTTGTGGACTTCAACTCCCAGAATTCCTCAGCCAGGCACGCTATCTGAGGAATTCTGGGAGTTGAAGTCCACAAGTCATAAAAGGGCCAAGTTTGAAGACCCCTGCTGTAGAAAAATTCCATTTCTGTAGAAGCATCCTGCAGAGCAGTCTTTCTCAATCTCAGCAGATTTAAGAAGTGTGGACTTCAACTCCCAGAATTCCTCAGCCAGCATACTGGCTAGGGTATTCTGGGATTTGAAGTCTAGACATCTTAAAGTTGCTAAGTTTCAGAAACACAGCTGTAGAGGGGTTGTTCCTAGTTCCTGCTCTGCTTTAATTGCCTCTGCTTTAGGCCCCTGCATATTCATGAGTTCCTCATTAGCTAATGAATGACAAAGTCAAGCATGTTGACATTTATTTTGAACGATACTGGAACAAGGAGACAAACTTTATTGAGTGAGGGTGCAGCGAAGGGTCCCTAAGGCTTTCTCATAGGCCAGGGGTGTCAAACTGCCAGCCCACGGGCCGGACGCATCACGTGGAAACCGCGCCCACCCCATTGCCAGCAATGGCAAAACCGGCCCGATACATTGCGCAATGTCATGCGACGTCGCGAATTTGACATGCCTGTCATAGGCTATGAAGTAGAAGGAGGCAATGTCATGTTGTCGGGGCATGTTGATACTGTGGCTAGGTGCAAATGGGTAATGACTCTGTGGATGGAGCTGTCCTAGCTATAGAGTTTGTCAGTTTTTCTCCAGGGCAGGGGTCTTCAAACTTGGCCCTTTTATGACTTGTGGACTTCAACTCCCAGAATTCCTCAGCCAGGCACGCTAGCTGAGGAATTTTGGGAGTTGAAGTCCACAAGTCATAAAAGGGCCAAGTTTGAAGACCCCTGCTCCAGGGTTTCATGAGGCTGCCTAATACCCTCCCCCCCTGTGTGTGTGTGTGTGTGTGTGTGTGTGTGTGTTCAACAGGGTGGGGTGGGATAATCAAAATACTATAACTGAAAGGTGGCACTTCCTCTTCCTCTGTCTTTGAACAGAGAGAAGAGGTAAATACTCTGGTAGATAACAGGAAACTGTTTCCTTTCTTTATCTGAAACATCAGGTTCACATGTTTTATAGGCAATGGAGCATGATGTATGTATCAAAGCAGAGTGGGTGAGGGACACATACATCCTCTTTCGAACACTGAAACAAAATAAATGCCAAAGAGAAACCTCCAGGGTATTATGCTAGTGCTTAGTGCAGGGGTCTTCAAACTTGGCCCTTTTATGACTTGTGGACTTCAACTTCCAGAATTCCTCAACTAGCGTGCCTAGTCATGAAAGGCCAAGTTTGAAGACCTCTGGCTTAGTGTATCCTCCTCTTGGTTTTTTTTAAATTTCTTAAATCTTTCCCATTTTGGTATGCAACTCAATATAAAATTCCAACTGCGGGGTTTTGCTCCAACTTAAGAAATTAGCACCAGAGACACATGTACGCACACAATCACAAAATGAATGGTTTAATGCACTCCCTTCCCCTCCCAACGCTGTCTCCCTGAACTGATGGTGATAAGAGTTGAAGATAGAAAAATTACCCACTTCCTGGATGGTGCATTGTTTGGCTCCAGTGGGTGTAAGATTTACCAGCTTTGTAGGCTTTGTGGCTGTCACTAGAAGCGAGGAGGCTCCGTAAAATGAGCAGGTGTTTTAGGCAACTTGACACTCTCAGAAGCTGCAGAATGTTTGCAAAAAACAAAAACAAAAAAAAAACAGTAGCGCTGTTTTTTGCCAGTTTAAGTAGGAACACAGTCAATAAATAAGGCGAAAAAAAGGGGGAGGCATATTTGTGTTTAACAATGGCCACAAGTTTAGGATTAAATCTGAAATAACATTAATTTCGGGATTGCATTTTTATTGTTAGTGGGAGGCGTCAGTCTACTGAAAATATAAAGTAGCTAATTGGGGCGCCTCCAGGGACATATATACAACATACATGTATCAGGATACCATACCAGAAACTGGTGTGGTCTCAGAAGATTGGAGGAGAAGAAATATTGATCCCTGTTTGAATTCTAATAGAACTCAAGGATTGGAAGGGCCCTTGGAGGTCTTCTAGTCAACCCCCACTGCTAAGGCAGGGGACCCTATACCAGGGGTAGGCAACCTTGGCTCTTTTATGACTCGTGGACTTCAACTCCCAGAATTCCTGAGCCAGCCATGCTGAGGGGAAAGGGAGAGGTTTCCAAGCTGAGCCATGCTGGCTGAGGAATTCTGGGAGTTGAAGTCCATGAGTCATAAAAGAGCCAAGGTTGCCTACCCCTGCCCTATACTATTCCAGGGGACCTTATACTAATGCTTGTCCAATACAAATACAAATGCAAAAATACAAACACAAATGCAAATAATACAAATACTAATACAAATAATACAAATCAAGAATAACAAATACAAATACATGTCTTGGTTTAGAGCTGAAAAAGAAAACAGTACTTTTGCATGAAAAAGAACTTGCATGCCTTTGGAACAGAGACCTAGGAATTGCTTGGATCTACAAATAGAAATAAAACCAGACGGGGGAAAGAGATCCTGTAAATCTTTCTGTCCGGAGCTGAAAAGCATGCAGGACTTTTGCAAAGAATTGCTAAAAGGCCTTGTATACTGCGGGACTCTCTACTTGTGAGGATGACCCTCATCCTGATGGATTCATTTATTTTATGTTCCACATCAGCTTGAAGAGCAGTATTGAGTGAAATGACACAACAGGCACATTTTTATTGACAACCTGGATGAAGGAGTGGAGGAAATGATTATCAGATTTGCTGATGTTGTAAGATTAAGAGGAAGGACCAACACTTTGAAAGAGAAAGAGAATATTCAAAAGGATCCAGAATGGCCAATAGAAACAACAGGATAAAATTTAGCAGGAAAAAAAAAATGAAATTCTGCTTCTGGGGTGCAAAAGTATAGGAAGGGGAAGAGAGACCTAGGTCATACATGCGAAAAAGAAAACAGTGTTTTAACAGCGTTTCTTAACTTTGGTAAGTTTAAGATGTGTGGACATCAACTCCCAGAATTCCCGAACTAGCTTTGCTTTGCTGGCTGAGGAATTCTGGGAGTTGAAGTCCACACATCTTAAACTTGCCAAGGTTGAAAAAGTAGACTACAGCAGTGTTTCTCAACCTTGACAATTTTAAGGCATGTGGACTTTTATGTCCACATGCCTTAAAATTGTCAAGGTTGAGAAACACTGGACTACAGGCTTAATATGAACCAATGGAGACACAGCTGCTAAATAAGGCAAATACTATAGGGGATTATAAAGTCCAACTCATAGGATATACTGTAGTAGTCTCTTTCCACTCAGCCCAATCTTTTTATGTCCCTATGAGTTGCCTAAAAAAGTTAGAAATTGAGTTTTATAAGGTGAGATCAGACTGATATATATGCAATGAACTCCATCATCCAGGGTTTCTCCTCTCTTTGCCTTACTTTCTTCAAAAAATTCACAGTTATTTTGCAGTAGCTGTGAAGCTACTAAGCAGCCTTGCCTTGAAGAGTTTTCTTAAATAACCCAGACAAATAAAAAAAAAAACAGCTTTGCCAGCTAGCAAGAAGCTTTTATTTGAATCAACCTGCACATATATTACAGAAGGTAACAGCAAGCAATTTATAAACCAAATTCCTATCTTGTGTCAGTATTTTCACGTTGGGCTGTTTTCTGCAAAGGAGCAAATGCAAAAATTTTGATTACATTTCACATAAACGTAGATGCAATTACAATCAATGACATTCTGTCAGTTTGGTTACTTCCAGTCTGATGAACAATTGTCCTCTCCTGTCCTGTTAAAAAAAGGATGATCTGGTGGATCCACCACGCTAGATGTTGCTTTACTGTACAAATACTGGTATTCTGGTCTTGAAATGCTGAAGCTCAAGATGAAGCCTCCTGGATAGAGGCGTTCCTTCTTTCTTTGAGACAAGAGAAGGATTCTCACAAGGCAGATTCACGGAAAAAGATGTAAACATTTCTCCAGAGGTAACATCATAGTTGCTTGGGAGACCAAATATAAAAAGAGTATCAGTAGGATGGGACACCATAATGGGTGAGGCATGATTACCATATCTGCGTATGTGGCTTATGTCCATTCCTAGACAGCCTCTGCAAAAGAATCTTGTGTCTTTTGTAGGAAAGTATGATCTGGATTATCTCTCAGGCCACAGAAGATGCATCTGAGATATTTCATAACTCTTCTTCCGCAGATTTCCTCTGAACAATGACAGTCATATATAACACTGCATACAGACGCATGCACTTTAGGACTGACATCAGACATTTTCCTGGCTTTCTTTTCATTTTCCTGTTTAATTGGCTAATGCAATGAAATCACGGATAGTCCAACATGATGGACTATATTGCAGCAAGAGCAGGATGCCAGCTGGATTATTAAGCGGTTAGCGATGGAAAGGAACTCCCTTCCTTAAACTTGGGTAGGACTGATGGACCTTTATGTTCCCCCGAAAAGTGAAGCTTCGGGTTCATTACATGTGAAGAAGATGGACCACCATCCACATAAGTGGCAGCAAAAAGAAAACTGGACCCTCAGACACCATTATGTGAGCAGAATTTATAGTAGCATTTGCTTTTGACTCCTGAAAGAGAAATTGAGAAAGGTATTTTATATTGGATCAAACCTGAATACTAACAATTATTTTATTCACTGACACGTGTTCCCATTCACAGAGCTGGAACATATGTTTGTCCTGTATATACATGTGATTTTGACATCTATTTATCCCTCCAGGTTAGAGAGTTAGATCTCTGGACCATTCAGAATCGCTTTGGATAGTTAGATAGGTGGCATGTAAATTTAAAAAATAAAATAAAAATGAAATAACATATGCACAATAGAAGAACATGGGACATTTATTCCTAAATATTGTTAACATATGTTCCTCCTCCCCTCCCAGCAGTACCTATAATAGTCTAATATGATTACAGAAGCAAAGGCATAAAAAAATCAGTAAAGAATTTTTAATAGGAAATACAGTGGTACCTTGGTACTCGACTCATCAAATTTGGTACTTAACGCATTTTGACATGAAAAATTTGTCCCGGTACTCATCATTTGTTTGATACTCAATGCACAAGCTAGAACTTGTCAGTGTCGGCTGCCTTGTGACTCACTACATTATTCCTTATGGGGAAAAAGTGTTTGGTACTCATCCCCAAACCAAATAAGCAAGAGTACCGAGGTACCACTGTATATGGAAAGGATACTTTTAAGCGTTCCCTTTAATCCATCCACTCCATTAAGGCTAAAGGTCTAGGTGGGCATTGACTGCAGGACAGATGGATCTAAACCACAAAGAGGAAATGAGTGTGCCAGTCAGCTCAGAGCTCATTGTGCATTTTAAGTAAAGTCTGAAAAAGAACATCTAAGTGCATTTTAGCTTCAAAACTCCCTGCACTTCAGACTCTCCAATCTTGAAATTGCATAAAGATCTTCAAAGCAGCTGGATGCATCGAAAAATTGTGGGAAAGGCAGATTGTTCTGTATCACTCTCACCCTGGGGCAAATGGCTCCATGAATCTTTTTTTTTAAAGAAACTTTATTGGTTTTTTTGGTTTTTGAGACAAAGTGCTCAAGACACACCGTGGTGTTAGGGTAGTCAAACATCCAAAGATAAAACATATATACATAATTCAGTCAATACATCTAGTATTCCCTCTCTTTTCCCCTTAAGTAACATAATTTAGTTTAAAATAGTCCAATTCTAGCTTAAATTTATTTAAATGCCTCCATGAATCTTAACTGGCATCTGAAAATATACATGATTCCTTTGAGAAGAAGGTTTTTTTACGGTGAAAAAGCCGCACCAGGAATGCCTGCTTAAGCCATCAATTTTCCCCGTTTTCTCCATTGCTTGCTCTTCCACAGACCCCCCTAACCTTGTCTCATTGTATTACATTTCTGTTTATACTTTAATAATGCCTCATTTCCCCGCTCCCCCCTCTCCCGGCCCATGCACCAGTTGCTTAATTTATCAGTTAAACCAGTGCAACTTTTGCAACTGACAAATTAGAACTTGAAGAAACCTGTTAGTTGTGCTTAAAAAATTATGGTTTCCTGTTCCTGCATAAGAGCACCTGCTCCTGCATCTTATTTTAGTGGACAGAAAAGGAAATGCAGAAATAGCTGAAAGCAATGTTTTAAGGCACATATCTCCAAGCAAACAAATGTTACTCCAAACCCAGGATTGTAGAATTATTTCGGTTCAAACTGTGAATCAATTTGAACAGACGTTCTCTAAAATGTTAAAATAAAGTTCTCGAATGAAAAAGAAATGCTGAACTCTCTAACCACGCTGAAATCAATGAGATTTTGAGAGAGCAAGAGGTATCTAGAGGTAGTGGAAGGTTGCACAATTGTACCTGAATTCTAAAAAAGTTGGCCAAACTTTAATACAGTAGATTATATAATCCTTGTCGTGAGCATATAGATGATTTAATGCTTGGAAGTTTTAGATTTGGACTCAATTCAAGTGTTAAAGGATAGGTGTTACACACTCATCAGTCAGATAGTCTTAGAAAATCTTAGATTGATCTCTTTTGTAGTGATTGGGTTTAGATTCAGCCTAATGTACCTCATAAGGCTGGCAGTAACCCAGTGGAACATAAATATAATGATGATGATGATAATGATGGTTTGTTAAAAATAGGCAACATTTGGTGTAAGGCAGCAGACAGTTAGGATTTAAAACCTTACAAATGTCTCCTTTTGGGCAGCAATATGAATTGGTTTATTTGTACAGAAGTAACTGCTCCATTATCATGCCATACTTTGCCAACATCGGAGAACGCTGCATTGATTAGATTTAACTCGCAAAATAGTAATGTTTGGTCATGTTAGTAAAATTTAGTAGGTCTAGAACTAAGGAGAAACTTCCTGACAGTTAGAACAATTAACCAGTGGAACAACCTGCCTCCAGAAGCGGTGAATGCGCCAACACTGGAAGTTTTTAAGAAGAAACTAGACAGCCATTTGTCTGAAATAGTATAGGGTTTCCTGCCTGAGCAGGGGGTTGGACTAGATGACCTCCAAGGTCCCTTCCAACTTTATCATTATTATTATTATTATTATTATTATTATTATTATTATTATTATTATTATTATTATTATTATTATTATTATTATTATTATTAAATCTCAAGGAAAGCTGGTCTGCACCTGTTCCTTCCTTCCCATTTTTTGGGGGCCAAAATACAATGGAACCGTGCTAATCCTGATACTGAACTGTAAATTAGATACTGCAAGCTATTGACTTTCTAATTTTTAGCCTAGCAGTAACAGCAATGGCATTTGCTTCTGCTATCCTAATACCAAATGATCTGTTGGGCTTTTTGAAGAACCCAATAAACACATCTGCTTGTACAAAAAAGAAAAAAAACCCAACTCTAACCATGACTGCTGTGTTCAGCTGATTCTAAAGGAAAATTAAGCAACTGAAAACATTTGAATCATTTAAAGAGATATCTCTTATTTTAAAAAAAGATCTGTATAAAGAACTTTTTTTGGCCCAAATGCTCACAAATGTAGCTGAGCTCAGAACAGACAACTGTGCCTATGATTCAGAGAGCATGTATGTAGATGTGGGTTGGGTATTCTTAGATATTGCCTATCATGGTTTGTAGTCTTTAATGCTTAAATCTTTTTATTAAACAATCCAGGTAGCTTATAAAAAAGGTGGAAATAATCCACATCGGTGTAAAATCATTGTTCCAAAATAAATCATTCCTAATAGATAAGCAATGTTTGGTTGTCTTACAACAGCCGAGGCATATCAAGAGAAGATTGCAATGACCTCATGCATGACGAGTAATCTTAATAAAGATAATTCTATGGAAACTATGCTATGATATCAGATCCATAATGCAATAATCACCATGCTTTTAGATATAAACAGGTAAATAATCTGAGAAAAGCCAAATGAAAAAAAAAACGGGAAATGGATGTGTTTGTTGCAGAAGGGAACAGAGAATCTTACACAATTTTAAATGAAATAATATAAAGAGGGAGCTGACATGCCTGGCATCTATTTGTTTAAGTTGAAAATTGAAGTGGTGAAAGAATAGGGCAGCCGCGTGCCTGAGTCTGCAGTGCCTAACGGTGCAGCCTAAAAAGAAAAAAAAACTGTGGCAAGAACAGCTGCAACTGTCTTCAGTTGTCATTCTTCCTGTCCTTCTATAAGTTTGTTATCAAAACATCGTATTTTGAGAAATAATTGGGCATTTATTTTTTACTTTAATATAGCATAGCCGCCAATACAATAAGACAGAATAACAAAGTTGGAAGGTCCTTGCAGGTCTTCTAGTAGTCCACCCCCCTATTCAAGCAGGAGATCCTATACCGGGGTAGGCAACCTTGGCTCTTTTATGACTCATGGACTTCAATACCCAGAATTCCTGAACCAGCCATGCTGACTCAAGAATTCTGGGAGTTGAAGTCCACAAGTCACAAAAGAGCCAAGGTTGCCTACCCCTGTCCTATACCATTCCAGACAGATGGCTGTCCAGTCTCTTCTTGAATATCTCCAATGATGGAGCACCCACAACTTCTGAAGGCAAGGCTTTCCACTGGTTAATTGTTCTAACTGTCAGGAAATTTCTCCTTAGTTCTAGATTGCTTCTTGCCTTGGCTAGTTTCCATCCATTGTTTCTTGTCTTGCCTTCAGATGCTTTGGAAAATAGGTTGCTGCTCCCCCCCCCTCTTCTTTATGGCAGCCCCTCAAATATTAGAACACTGCTATCAGACAGGGCAGAGAATAAAAAACTTTTCACCTTACACAGAATTCTCCAATGCCTTTAATGCCCTAATGTGTTCCTACCTCTGTCTTTCCTTTAATGGGATTAAAACAACCTCCAAGGGCTAAAATAAAATTACAGTGAATGAAACGCAAAGCACGTGAAGCCTGCCTGTTTATCAAATTAGCCTTCCACCTGAAATTTAATTTAAAGAAATTACATGAAGAATGTGTGGCAAACCAGTTTGGAATAATAATGAAAGCACCAGGCTAAAAGATGGTGAGTTCTCATCCAGCCTTGGGCATAAGGGCAGTGGACCACTTCTGAAAACCCTTGTTAAGAAAGGGACTTGTCCAAAGAGCCTGAGAAATGGGCATGACCGAATAAGGAAAAGAAAATGTGTACACGTACCCAGTGCTTAACAGATATAAAATAGAAGAATGGAATGGAATAGAAACCAGATTAAATAATTTTGAAAATGTCTGTAGCTGCAGTGTGTGTAAAGATAATTTTAAAAAAATTGCATACATTGAATCTTGAACATTTAGAATAAAACTGAAGCAGTCGCAGATTGAGGCCAAATGAGTGATATTGAATAAATTCTTAACACTGTGAGGAAATGAGTGTTTTCTCTATGTATTATCTAGTGGGTTAATCCAGGGGAATTGAAAGTTAATGAGGACAATGGGGGTTGCATCAAATTTTTGTTCCTCTCCAAAAGTGAAAAGCAAATCATATTGTGTCTAAAATAATAGGAAATAGACCCTTTTCAGTTTACTGCTCATGAATACCCCTTCTGCATTCTTAGGGTTGTAAATAAGTACACAGTAAACCAGGATTCATATTTTAGAAATTACTACAGCTGAACCAAACCCAAATGATCTCATTGCGGCCACCACCTTAAGCCATAAAGTAGTTTGTTTGGCTATGTGTTACAGAAAGACAGCCAATGTGAATTTTTTTAAAGACCACAGCACATTGTTTAGAGAAAATCATTATGAAGACATAGAGATTTCTGGTGTGTGCTGTATTTCCAAGATGCTGCATTTAATTGCTAGAAAAATAGTGCACTAGAAGGAAATTTTGTTTGGGTTTCTATAAGAAATTAATTTTGAGTCAGGATGAGTTTCCTAGAATTTAGCTCAGTGATGGGATTCAGCCAGTTCACACCAGTTTGGCAGAACTGGTAGCTAATTTTTGTTGCCCAGGCCCAGAATGGACTTCCAGAAGTGGCATCCACACAGAGAACCGGTTGTTCACATATTTGAATCCCACCACTGATTTAGCTGTAGTCAGCTGAGCAGGGACACTTTCTAACTTTTAAAGTATGACCATCTCTGGAAACAGCCTGTTATAATGTTATCAGAGTATGATTTGGATCCAAAGGAGTCTGCTTTAAAAGTTGGTTAGGATAATAATAAATATTCCTTTATAAGCAGCGCAGACTGAGGAAGTCATTATGGCTTGGGTAGCCCTCCAGAGTTCTGTGATAAGTGGTGTATGTATTCTACATACATACATGTGCAGAAAAGGAACTGTATATGTTTGGGCAGACTGAATACAAGGCAAGATGCATGCTATTTTTATGAGATATGTTAAGCCAGAAAAGAGGAAGAAACTTGGTTAGCGAATCCCAATGTGTCTTAGTCCATATTGCACACATTATTTTAACCAAAGGTTGACCCCCAAAGGGCCAGCCCTGGAATTTATAAAATCTGGAATATTACATGAAGCACTAAAATCATAGGGGACATATGCTCAATGCTTTATCTTGAAAGGGATGTGAAACAGCCCTAGATAGCTGAATTTGTGCTCGGTAAAGTCAAAATAATTGCCAAGTACTTGACTAGACCCGGGGTAGGCAACCTTGGCTCTTTTATGACTCGTGGACTTCAACTCCCAGAATTCCTGAGCCAGCATGGCTCAACATGGAAACCTCTCCCTTTCCCCTCAGCATAGCTGGCTCAGGAATTCTGGGAGTTGAAGTCCACGAATCATAAAAGAGCCAAGGTTGCCTACCCCTGGACTAGACTAAGCCTCCAACCATTGGAATGACCACTATACGGCAGCAAAGAACTAGAGGAAAAAAACCCTATTGTAGTAGATTACTGCTACCCAATTTGGGAAGCCTTGATAGGTATAGTCTGCTTGTAAAAACCCACTAGGAAGGATGCTCTAAACCAGTGGCCCCCAACCTTTTGGGCACCAGGGATCGGTTCCGTGGAGAGAGATTTTTCTGTGGACTGGAGGGGGCATGGTTTCATGTGCTGCCTGCTTCACTTATTTGCACAGCCTGGCATGTTGCAGCCCGGTGCTGATCCACAGACTGGGGGTTGGGGACCCCTGCTCTAAACAGCCCATGGAGGACAGACATAGAAAAGAGGAAAGAGAAGCAGAAAAGTTGGGCAAGAAAGAAGGGAACAGTGCAAATGGAAGAATACAATTTGATGCATTTGCAAAAGGTTTAATAGGATTCCCTCTGGAAACTGGAATGAAGTTGTTCCAACTTTTTTCAACTGACTGTAGTAATTATCTTTGACGAATCACCCCATTTATAATATGCTTCAGAAGATTACACTACTTCATCTACAAACTTTGAATAGTTTTTTTCCCTGAAAGAAACAGAAGTAGAAGGAGTTTTCAATGGCCAACTAGCAATCTCAATAGGATGATAAACAGGTTGGTCTGTCCGTCTGTCCATCTATTTCTATCTCTATCTGTCTATCTCTATTTCATATCTCTCTCTCTCTCTCTCTCTCTCTCTCTCTCTCTCTCTCTCTCTCTCATCTATCTATCTATCTATCTATCTATCTATCTATCTATCTATCTATCTATCTATCTATCTATCTAATCTATCTCTTTGTCTCTCTCTCTCTCTCTCTCTCTCTTCTATCATTTACCTAATCTTAAATAAAAATATAGTCCTGTCAGTACAAACCACAACATGGCATGTGTTGGAAATGCTGCTTGGGGTTATGAATAATTTGGATGCTGTTCTTTAAAATCAGTTTTGAAGTACATGCCCTTTTAATTACATTCCCATACAATTTTTATCAGCAAATCAGCAAATTTAGGGAATTTTCATTATTCGTAGAAACCCACTAATGCCAATTATGAGGCATAAGCTATAAAGGTCTTATGGATTATTACTTAGAAATGAGTTCTTCCATGTTTAGTAGAATGTCTAAGAAATACATCCCTTATTGAAAGCCTGTACCCAGTTCACAAACACATACTTCAATAAAACCTTGCTGTTTAAAAAAAAAAAGCAGATTCTAATTTGACTCACCGATTCAGCTGGTTTATCTTCAGGTGAAGATTTACCTTTATCTTCAGGTGAAGATTTACCTTTATCTTCAGGTGAAGATTTACCTTGGTCATTAGCCATGACCAGGGTCATCAAGAGAATGGCGCCAAGAAGCCAAGTGGCCTTCATGGTTAAACTCTCAAGACTGGAGTGTCTAGGAAAATCAACTTCTTTCTTAGAAGAGATGCAGGAGGTTTTCTGCTCAGGCTAGCAAAAGCAGAAGGAACTCGCCCATCACAACCACCTTCTTCTGATTTGCTTTTGTGTGGGTGATGATGGGTGGGGATTGTGATGGTTGGCCCTTTGACACATCCAGAGTTTGCCTGCTTGCCTAGAAGACTGTAGCTGCAATAGGTGGGCTCACTGAAATGCATTCAAGGGACAGCAAACCTTTGATGAGTCACAGGACAAAAAGACATTTTGTAAATCTTACTGTCTGAAAGGAGGGATTTGCAGGCATGACAACTGTCAGTTATTAAAATAGACCCCTTCTCCTTCTTCTCTTCCTCTTCTTCTAAACGAATATGACAGTGTAATGAACCAGTGATTTCACTCTAGTTAGGTTTTGCAAAATCAATGGTGCCAAGTCCAGTAAGTTTAAAATGCCTAATGTTTGGCAGCTTGTGTCATTGCACCAAGAGCTCCCATTTCAATCAATGTGACAACTGCCCTTAGACTTATATACCTCTTCACAGTGCTTTACAGCCCTCTCTAAGTGGTTGAAAGAGTCAGCATTTTGTCCCCAACAATCTGGGTCCTCATTTTACCAACCTCAGAAGGATGGAAGGATGGGTCAACCTTGAGCCGGTCAGGATCAAAGGAATCGAACTCCTGGCAGTGTGAGTAGAGTTAGCCTGCAGTACTGCTTTCTAACCACTGTGCCACCATGACTCTTTACGTGAGTTGCAGTCTCCTGGATTTATTTATGATAGTTGCAGTCTCCTGAGGTCATGAGCTTCCCAGCTGGCTTTCAACAAGCAAAGTGAAAGAAGGGAGCTGGATTTGCTTAACAACAGCATGATTTACTTAACAGAATAACAGAGTTGGAAAGAACCTTGGAAATCTTCTAGTCAAATCCCCTGCTCAACCAGAAGACCATATACCAGTGATGGCGAACCTATGGCACGGGTGCCAGAGGCGGCACTCGGAGCCCTCTCTGTGGGCACACGTGCCATTGCCCCAGCCTTGCCTTCCCCACGCGACCCCCTCCTCTCCAGCAGCCCCCCCTGAAGGAGAGTCGCCCCCGAGCGTGGCCCACACGGAGCAGCGCAACCAAGGACATGGCAGCCAGGCAACGTAGACAAGACTCTGCCCTCACACTCCATCGCGCACAGTTGATGCTGCAGGGCGCGGGCAGAGGGCGTGGCTTCCATAGCACTGCTGGGCTGCCTGGGCGATCTGCGGCGGGCCCTGGAGGCGGTGAGTGGTCCTGTGTGGGGGGGATGTGGGGCAGGGCAGGGGCGGGGCAGGGGGTGGAGCAGGGGCAGGGCCAGTTTTTGGGCACTCGGTCTCTAAAAGGTTCGCCATCACTGCCATATACTATTTCAAGTAGCTGCCAATCTCTCCTTAAGAACTTCTAGTGATGGAGCACCCGCAGCTTCTGGAGGCAAGCCTTCCCACTGAGAAATTGTTCTGCCTGAAAAGTTCTCAACTGCAACTGTAGTAGAAATCTTCGATATTTATTCAGGAGACAAGACCACGAAGGGTTGGAGAAACAGGTTTATTTGCGCAAAGGTTCAGGGCATTAGCATGACAAATTCTGAACCCCGGGCTACTCCCAGGGCATAAGTTTTACCCCTTTTGCAACCCCAGCCCCGCCTGAGGCGTTACCCTTATCAGCTATAGCAGGAGTAGGGAAAAGGAGAAGTTTATATAATTGGCTATCATACTATATTTCTATATAAGGATATTATCTTACACCATCTGTGACTTTCAAGTACCCTTCTTACAATATGTTCCGTTACAGTAAATAACTAGCACACAGGTCACACAGCTCATTGTTACATGAAGGAAAGTTCCCTTTTCCTAAAGCTTACAACATCAAAGCAAGGAAGCTTCTACTAATATGTTCTGTTACTATAAGTATGTATTTTCCATTCTGCCTCACAACAACTGCAGTGATGGCACTTAACAACCATGGCAAAAATGGTCATGAAATCAGGTGCAACTCACTTAACACCCCCCCTTCCTTAGCAACAGAAATTCTGATTCCAATTATGGTCATAAGCTGAGGACTATCTATAGTCTGCCTTCATCCTTTGAACTGGCCTATTGACCTCAAGTATAGCAGAATCTGCCAATGACAACCAGTTAACTTTTACAGGTGGAGGGACGGAAAGGACTCTGTCTTTCTCTTGGCTTTAAGCTGTAAAGTATCTTGGGAGAATCCTGAATGCTATGCGGTTAATAATAGTAATAGTAATAGTAGTAGTAGTAAAATAATAATTAATTATATAAATAAAAATGTAAATGTTCGTTTGTTCAAAATCTTAAATCTCTGAAAGTTCTTCACCGATTGCTTTGAAATTTTGACACAACGTTGCATTCGAATACACACGTGTTTTTATATACCTAATATTATATAGATGTCACACCTGTGACAGGTAAAAACATGCTTTTTTTGAAAAACAGCGCCATCTGTTGGACGTAAAAGCAAAGCAGACAATCTCTATATCTGCACAGACAATGGAACAACAAAAAATATTGTATACCCACAAGCATTGTGAAATTAAACATATTACAAACGTGTGCTTTCTCTTTTCTTTCTTTTCCATTTAACCAGACTGAGCCACAGCAACGCGTGGCCGGGCACAGCTAATAATAATAATAATAATAATAATAATAATAATAATAATGATGATGATGATGATGATGATGATGATGATGATGATGATGATGATGATGATGATGATGATGATGATGATGATGTTGGAAGGGACCTTGGAGGTCATCTAGTCCAACCCCCTGCTCAGGCAGGAAATCCTATACCATTTCAGACAAATGGCTGTCCAGTTCCATGTTTGTAAAATGGAAGACCCCCAAGTCATTGCCGTTTGCAGACGCAAGAGCTGCTTGATTATTATATAGGAAAAATGTGAGTCATGTAGATCAAATCAGCATCCTAACTGGTATGTAGATTTGAGAAATGGAAATTGAATACGTTGATCTCAGAAAGGCAAACCAAAACAATTTCTCCCTATTCTCTATGGAGCACATTTAGCAGAAAGGACATCCTACCAATATTTGGCTTTCTTGATGGAACTAATATCTGAAACAGGATGGCAGTCATGATATATCTATTGAAAATTACCAATGTGTTTTAAGATACATCTGGAAACACCAAATATATATGCATTCATGCTTAGATGCATATATTGAACTATGTTTTAAATACTTATCCTAGTGAAGCTGTGAATTTTTCTTGTTCCCCAGCATGTTATGATTTTCTATAGGTTTTGGATATATTGACATGGTAATTAAATTAATCACCTCCATGGACACAGAGTAAAATAATTTGGATGGGGGATAGGATTTATGAAAATCTCTTATTTGTTTGCAAAAATAAATCTCCTGGTTGCTGTTTTTTCTGGTATTCAGTGTGCATGTGCTAATGCGTAGACTGCCAAAGTGGCAGACCATATGATTACAGTAGGACTATGCATTCTTCAAAAATGATCAGAAGAGTTTCTTCAGAATGCAAAGGGTGTGAATGCAGTACCTCTTCAAAGCAGGTGCTTTTTTCAAGCTTCCAGAAAAAACACACAGATGTGTTGATATATACATGTATTAATAGCTACAGATACTAAGTGTAAGGCTTCTGCAGGCAACAGAGAAAATAATCTGAACAATTTTCAAAGCATGCACCACTCTACTGATATTGACTGTAAATTGGGAGGGACCAATAAACCTGAAAAATGATTAGAGCTTCTGTAACGAATAGCAGAGAGAGTCTATGCTACTTTCAGAGCCTTTTAGTACCAAGAACTGGAAAATGCCAACAGGAAATCTACATTTGTCTAACTTGCTTGGGGTTTTCCCCAAGAGAATTGACTGATCACTGTGGCAACATTAGGTTAGATGGGGCTTGTTTGATTTAGCAGAATCTTCTCATTTTCTTCTTCCTCTTTTGTCTTTTCATCTACACAGTTATTGCATACAGACATGCTAAAAAAAATTGCCCTAATAAAGTGAATTCCAGTTTCATCTATCTCTGTGCTATTCAAAAGTCAGTGAGTTGGGAGCAGCAGCCAAAAATCTTCCTTGGAAAAAAAAGCCCCTTGTTTACAGCATTGCAGAGAAAATACAAACGTTTGCACAAGGTCAGTTTAAAGGCGAAGGAGGATTTTTACAAACCACAATGCCCAGATTTATATAAATCCAGAATTATATTTATGGCATAGTAGATTAGGTGAATATGCACAAAATATTTGGCTTTTAGCATTATCATAGATAGGCAGTTTGGGCTTCCCAGATATTTGGTATTGCATGGGGCAAGCTGATTGAGATTAATGAGAATTGGAGTCCCTGGACAGCCAAGAAAACAAACCAATGGATCAATGGGCAAATCAGTCCAGAGTTGTTACTCCAGGCACACATAAACAGGCTACTTCAGAAGACCCAACTCTCCGGAAAATGGTCCGATGCTGGGAAAGATGGAAGGAAAGAGAAGAGGTCGGCCAGCAGCAAAGTGGAGAGGGGGCACTGCTGGAAAAACTGAAGGACCACGTTAAATACATACAGTCATGAAAAGGTCTATCTTTAGAGTCTCCAATTGATGGTACATCTATCCATTTATGACATATAATGCAAAGACCCAACTGTAATGATGGGAAAAGTGGATGGAAAGAATAGGACGACCAGCAGCAAGGTGGAGGCGCTTAATGGGAACACCTTTGAAAGACTGAAGGATCACTTTGGGGAAAGATGGTCTTGGAGTAAATCTCCTCCTGCTTGAGCAGGGGGCTGGACTAGAAGTCCTCCAAGGTCCCTTCCAGCTCTGTTCTGTTCTGTTCTATCCATGTGCTTGCTAAGAGTCAACAATGATTTGATGGCACATTATCCATCCATTCCATCCATCCATTCATCCGGAAGGAGACAGATCGCGTCCGAGGCTGCATTGATTTCTCTCTCTCCTCTGAAAACAATGCCAAATAACCACGGAAATGTAAGCGATGCGAGAGATGGAGACTCCATTGGCACAACTCTGCCCGGACTCTGCAAAAATAAATACAAAAAAAGTCCGACTGAAAAGAGATCAGATTTAGGCGGCTGACCGAGCTTGGAATGTTGGGAAATGTAGTCTCGGGAGCTCAAGCTGGGAAGGTAGCCTAGGCAACCGCCGGTAAACAAGATGGCGGCGCCTGTCTGAAACCTCCGGAGGGGTCGGTGAGTGCAGGCTGGGAGCGGGCGCTCTCTCTCCCCCCCCCATATTCCCACCTGACAAGGTTGCCTCATTCCGGCGAAGGACCTCCAGAAAAATCCCCGGTGCCCCCCAAAGCTAGCAGGGCACGTTGGTTCTCCTCCTAGCGAGGCGGTTTCCCCTGGGCTCGGTGGGGCTGCGCTACAGGCAACGGAGGTGGGGGGGAGGCTGCAGTTGGTGGGGCTTCCCCCCTTGGGCCTGCAGGTCACCAGTTGGACCCCAAGCCTGTTTTGCAAGGAAGGGTTGGCTTCACACCATGTGCTGAACTGTAAACCTGGGTTATCAAAATTGGGTGGACTGTTTGTTTATTTGTTTGATTTTTATAGCTTCCCTCCTCACTTTTACAGGTAGTCCTCAATTTACAACAATTAATTTAGTGACTGCTCAAAGTTACAATGGCAGTGAAAAAAAGTGACTTATGACCGTTTTTCACACTTACAACTGTTGCAGCATCCCTATGGTCATGTGATCAAAATTCAGATACTTGGCAACTGACTCATATTTATGACGGTTGCAGTGTCCTGGGGTTATGTGATCATCTTTTGTGACCTTCTGACAAGCAAAATCAACAGGGAAGCCAGATTCATTTAACAACCGGGTTACTAGCTTAACAACCGCATTGATTCATTTAACTACTGTGACAAGAAATGTCGTAGAATGTGGCAAAATTCACTTAACAAATGTTTTGCTTAGCAACAAAAAATTGGGGCTCAGTTGTGGTTGTAAGTTGAGGATCACCTGTACCTTACTCTAGGCAGCTTACATTAAAATACAGGTATGTCTCAGTGCAATCAATGAATTCCACAAAATGGTTGCTTGATTCAAAGTTGCATGATTCGAAGTGATATTTCTATGGAACATGCGGTAATGGGCTTCAGTTTGACCGACAAGGGCAAAGAAAGTAGCTAAACTTAAACATTTACATGTTTATGAATGAAATATGTATTCCACTTAAAGAGGACAAATGTATATCCAAAGAGTATTTCCTGCATTCTGCTGTAGTTCTTCATAATGAGCTTCTTCTTTTTGGAGTTGCCTTTGAAATGAAACTTCCGTCTCTCTGTTGTGCACCATCAATTAATGTCTAAAATCCCAACAGCATCTGCATGTGCTAAGTGCACATGCAGATGCTGTTGGGATTTTAGACATTAAATGTGACCTGGTATCAATTTATAAATCACACTAAATCAAAGTTCGCACTATTTGAACTTGCACTAATCATGACCTGCCTGTAAATAAAATATATAAAATAAATTATCATTATTATAATTATAATTATCCATACAACCAGGATATGAGCTGATGCCCTGGGTCACAGGCTCGGGCATGAAACCAAGTTTTCAAGACCATGTGAAAGGGCAACAGGGACAGGGCCAATTTAATGGGGGGGGGGAAAGATGGTGATATTCCATTGGGCCATGGCAGAAAAGCGTCTCCTTTAGGCCTTGGCAGCTGACTCCTTAGCTAAAGGTACCCAGTTGCTGGGCTTGCTTAAGGTGGTCTGTTCTCATAAAACATAACCTTGACTTTACAAGGCTCAGACCATGGCTGGGTCCCTGGAAGCATGTGCTGAAGCTTAAATTCCCCCATGGCTTTCTCATCTAGCCTAAGAAATTGTCTGAACCCAGCCATGGAGTCCCCCTGGTCTTAATAAGGAGCTTCACCTCGGGATAAGGATTTTGAATAAGGTTGATCTGGCCTTGTCTGGGAGCTCTTTAGAGGTGTTGGATCGTGGGAGCCTGTGGAAGTTGAGGTCCCACGTTTGGTGCATGCAAGGATGGGGAGCGTTGTATTCGGCTGCAGTCCCATGCAAGAGTAAGTCATAATATCTTCAAGAAAGGCCATGCAGCTGTCTTCAGTTTGGTGCTGAGGGGATAAAGTAACTTCTGAATATGTGGATGGATTGCATTGTAATTTATTTCTTATGTGAACTGGAATGGCCTTCCACATTCCGATACTCTCCAAATGTGTTGGAATTCAACATCCATCATTCACAGCCAACATAGTCAATAATGATCTAAGGCAAGGGTAAGCAACCTTGGCTCTTTTATGACTCGTGGACTTCAACTCCCAGAATTCCTGAGCCAGCATGGCTGGCTCAGGAATCCTGGGAGTTGAAGTCCACGAGTCATAAAAGAGCCAAGGTTGCCTATCCCTGATCTAAGGGATGATGGGAGCTGTAGGAGCCACCAAACTGGCAAAAGCTGGAATCAAGTCTACCACTCAGTGGGCTGATACTGCTTCAAACAGAATATTGCTCATGTTTATCTTCTGCAGAGACAATTATACTTCAGGATTGCCTGGCACTACTGTTAATTCCTTTGCATTCCAGTGTGTATTCATGTGTTGTAATCATGATATAGTTCACCTGAGGATATTTTTTGCTGTTTTGAGCAAACGGAGGATAATTTTACACGATGGTCTCCGAAAGTAAAACATGTTAACCTCTTTTCTCCACCTAGGAATTAAAACTGTCTTCAAGAAAAAATGTCATCTCCTTTCTCTTCTCTCAGCAAGATTCGTAGAATGCCACTTCAGTTGCAGCCAACAGAGTAAGTGAGGGCTTAATAATAATAATAAAGTTGGAAGGGACCTTGGAGGTCATCTAGTCCAACCCCCTGCTCAGGCAGGAAACCCTATACCATTTCGGACAAATGGCTGTCCAGTCTCTTCTTAAAAACTTATTGGAGGAGACCATCTAAATCTGTGGTAGAAAAAAATCCCATATTTTGGCTTCCAAATATCACAACAATCTCTCTTTTGAATGAATAAAATGGCCATTAAGCTTCTTCCAGTAGTGAGAGCATTACATAGGAGAGATTAAATGTTTCTAATACACTTAGTTTTATTCAGTTTTACCTCAGTTTGCAACTATTAGCCATGGCGTTTTATATCTCTGTTTCTTCCTATTTTAATGTTACGTATTCATACAGGAAATCCTAAGCACTTCTTTGAATTATGCATATGGTCTAACTTACTAAAAAAAAGAACTAAAAGAATAATTTGTATGGCAAATGTGATATACAGTATTTGACAGGATAATTTAAATGAATTTCCTCTATTTTTTAAATTGTTTCTCCCATTTGTTTCTGGATTTTAGGAAAAAGGCAATACCACTCCAGACAAATATCCAGAATGGTAAATTAACAAAGATTCACACCTTTTGTTTTAAATACTGCTTGTAAACATTGTAAGCTACTCTTATAGTTTTAATGATCCACAGGAATATTTTCACATCCCATAAAAATTCATAAAAATTGCTTGTGTTTAAATACCATATTGTTAATGTTATATATTTCTATAAAGATTTTAAAAATCTACTAGCAAACAAACCATGCTACGAAAATAATCTTTGGGGCATATATAGGAAATATGCAACTAAGAAAGTTCTGCTTGATCTGACCAGTTGATTTGATCTGATTGTCTATTACAGCCACATAGATAACAATTAGCAAGAGAAAAAAATGGTAGCTGCAATTAATCAATGCTGTTTTATGTGTTACATAGTTAATGCTGTTTTAGTGCGTTACACAGTTGTCCTGGGGAAAAAAAATCAGTCTTCCACTTTGTTACATCGGTCAGTGTGGAGAAATGATACAATTGATACCATGGGGCAATGGATATTTCTTTCTAAACAGTGGAATCCTTGGTGTTTTCTGAGCTTGATTGTTTTCTTGCAGACGTTTCATTACCCAACTAAATAACATCATCAGTGCTAGAAGAGAATATCCTAGGCTTGCACTTGATAATAGTTTATCCTTTGATTCACAGAAGATGAAGCTGCTATGATGGATGAAATTCTAGGGCCAGGAGCTCAAATTCCAGTACAAATTAATTTGCCTTCTTGCTCAAATGGAGCTACAGCACAATCATCTATGCTTGGTATGAGTCAAAGAACTGGACATAGAAGTATATAACTGTACTGGATAATGCTAAGCATTTACATTAGTCACAGTCTCACTTTGCAATGGATAAGAGTAAACTTAATCATAATTCACTATATAGCTTAAATAGCTGACTCAGAGTTAATGAGTCCTGTGTTCTTATCCTAAGAATACTTTTTGGTTCCTTATAGATTTGGACCCGAATTTGGATTCCTAAAAACCTCTATTTGGGGTATAGAAAAAAAAAAACAATAAACAGCCCCTCTCCCCCAAATCAGATTGGTTCTCCTCAAGGAAGTGACCTTACAGTACAGACAACATAGCAAGTCTTCTGGAAGTATGCCCCATTTTTGAACAATACAAAGTGTCCTTAAACCGATTGTTAGTATGAATTGTCCTCACATTCTGCCGATTTCACGTCTTCAGGGAATGCTCCGAGTGATATGGAGTTGATGACTTCTATGATGCAGAAGATTGCTTCTTTGGAGCAGAAAGTCAAGAGCCAAGCACAAGCCATCCAAGAGAAGGTGACAACAGAACCAGTGCAGGAATTGCCCTTGACCTATTCGTAACAGTTCAGACTGGAAACGGTTGAAATTTTGTTAAGATTTCACTTACCATTTTGTTATTTTTAATTTTTTATGCTATTTTTTTTGACCAGTTTGTAGTACATACGTATCTCATTAGGAGTCTACCGGATAAACAGCAAAATTAAGTAGAATCATAATTACAATAAAAATAGTATAAAACAAGTAATGTAATAAGATCAAAACAACACATTAAAAGAGACCAGAGAGTAATAAATGTAGAGAGTTTGGCACAAGATATGCAATTAAAAAAAACCTTGTATGCTAAAAGGGCATTACTCTATAGATGCTGTTAGATTGGTATGTTTGGAGTTAATACTCAGAAATGGTTCCTTTGACAGAGCACTCAGGGAAGATTGCAATCTTAAAACCTGAATAGATATACTTGAAAAGAAGTACAGGTAGTTCCTTGACCTATGACTTTAATTGGGACCAGGAATTTGATTTTGTGTTGTTATGGTTATAAGTCAAGGCACTACATAACCAGAAGTAATTTTCTGATTTTGTTTGCAGTAGTTATTAAGCAAACAAGATGATTGTTAACTGAATGGAGGGGTTATTAAACAAATATGGAGGTTGTTAAACAAGTGAGGCAATTGTTAAGCAAACTCATTCTTTGAATGGGCGTTTTTTTCCCCATAAATGGGCAAAAAACATCATGAATCAGTCACATGACCATGGAATGCCATGCCTAGTTTTAAAGCTTCTGTAGAAGAGCAGGCAGGACTAGGGGGTGGAGTTAAAACATGTCGTTAGCTTAGAATCCTTATGTATCCACAAACGCCCCAAGTCCAGCCCCCCTTGA